ACGATGACTTGACGTGGTTGCTGTGGAGCTGGTGGTAAATATTTTTCATAGATTATTGTGGGAGGTTTTGCAGGTGGAGCTGGATAACGTTCAACGATAACTAAAATTAGATTTTAGATAAAGAAAAATAAATATATGATTTTACTATGCGTACCTTGTCTAGGAAGTGAAGCAGATGGTATACGTTTTTCTATAATTAAAGGTTGTCCACATGGAGGACATGGTGGGGGTTTTTCTCTAAAAATAAATATATATGATAAAATTATTATAAAATATAAGAAAATTCTTTGTTCTTTTACCGAACAATAATAGGTGGTGGTGTTGGTGGACATGGAGGCATTTGTCGGCAAACAATAGGTGGTTGAACTTCTTGTGGAGCTTGAATTTCTATTTTTTTAAATTCAAGATAGTTTTTTTGTATAAGTAAAATAATAGAAAACTTACCTCGAATTATAATAGGTGCTGGTGGAGGTGGTGTAGGTGGCTGTAACCAACGTACCATAATGTTTTGTTTATAAACAACTTCCTGATTATTTGGTTTATAGATCACTTGTGGATTGTTAGAACCTAATGCTAAATTATGAGCACTACTTGTACCGGGTATACCAAGAATAGGTGGTGAAGGTGGTCGCCCAAATTGAGGTGATGATGATCTACCAAGTTGTGATATATCATTGTTATAACTGAGACTTTTATTCATCATGCCAGGAGATAATCGGTGATTCTAAAAAGTTAAAGAAAACAAATAAATATATATATTTAAATAATTGGTTTTTGAATTCTATTTCGAGAAGAAACGATTATTTACGAGAAAAAAAGAAAATAGTACAAAATAAATTTTTGCACTTAACCAACAACAATTTAACAGATGCTAGGCGTGAAAAGTGAGTAGTGATTATTAGAAGTTTTATAAAAAAGCAATGAACTTTTGACATATGTTATACACAATAGTTTCTTTCATATTTAAAATAGTTCTAATATTTAATTTTGTAAATACAAAATCATACAGAAAAAAAATCATGAATGACTTACCATTGATGATGATGCTGTAATTACTGGAATATCATTGATACGTTGGGATGTAAATGGTGTTAATGGACTAACAAGTTGTAAATTTGGATTAGCAAGAAGTTGTTGAATTAATTCATCCTGTCGAGGATCTTGAATATATGAATTTGTTATTGTATTTTGTATGTGGTTAGCACCAGGCGATGGTAAGAAATGTCTATTATCAGATACAAATGCTTGTGATGTTTGAACTACAGGACTACCTTGTTTGATTTCGTTCGGTGATAACGACCCAGCTCTACCGTGAAGCAAAGGAAACGAAGGAGAACCTTGATTTATTTGTCCTTGCTGTTCCATTTGTTGTTCATGTAATTTGAAAGCGCGCATTAGTTTCATAACTAAAAGACAAGCATCATCAGCGCTTTGTGTAACGAATGTATAACATAATGCATTATCAAAACCATGAAAAACAGAAACAAATATTGGTGGTCCAACAATATATTGTGCAAAACGATTAGCTAAATCGACATTTTCAAATTCACGTCGATAGATTTGATCTGGGTCACGTTGATCAGATAAATCACGACGCATACGTCGTAAAGCACCACAATAAGCTAAATGTTCGATTGGTAAATGTAGCGTACGATTTTTTGTATCTGTTGGTTCAAATGTAAGAAATTCTCCTAATTCATCGATTGTTAATGAACCTTCTTGTCCAAATATATCTTCCTCGGATCGAGTCAGTTGTGAATGTAAAATATCTTGAACAAGATCAGTACCATCTGATGTCGAATAAAATGTTAATGGTTCAACAGCAATAAATTGTACAAGTAATGTTCTACGTTCTAGATCCACAAAACGTGAAACCATTTCTTTTTTTTTATTTTCTATTTCTGATATATAATACACACACACACGCAAACTTAACTAGAATTTCAAGTAAATTGAACAATTTGAACACTTCATTACAATACATAAGCTGAATGAAAAAGAATTTTTCTTTAGAGATGTCTAGCCAATCACTACTCATCTTAGTAGTTGGCCACGGTTGAATACACATGGTTCACAAAATCGTTGAAAGAGAAAAAAATATCGTTTGTCATCGATCAATGTGAGTAAGAATCAGTGTCAACGATGATTGTATCTGTTTGATACATATGTATGCGTATCATATAGAATAGACAATATAAAACGACAAGGTTAATGCACACTTTTACATTGAACACAATACATCAAATATAAAGTAAAAAAAGTGTAATTTTATGCCGTATAAAATAAGCAAATTTTTCTATTGACATTTGTTCTATATCGAAGTTAAAATAAAGATAAATAATATCCATTGACAATTGTTAATCAAAACTTTATACATATAGAAATATTTATGATATAAAATAATATATTGATATCATCTTTATACTTTCTATTATATTTAAAAGTATTAAGTTTACTATATCTATCATATAAAATAGATCAGACGAACTTTTCAAATTTCATACTCAATTGATTTAAATTCTAAAAAAAATAAAAAGATCTTTTTTTTTGTTTCTTATCAGATTGTATGTATGCATATTGAATGAAACATCGAATTTTTTAAACACAATTCAAGGATGATAGATGAATGATAAAAAAAATAATTCATTTTATTTGTGAATATTTTTATTGATGCAATTATTGTTGTTTTTTCTTGACATGTGACAAATAAAACTGAGTATAAAAGTTCTCAAGAAATTGATATCAAATTAACATCATCGATTTTCTTATTTTAATGTATAGAAATGTTTATTCAATCTTAAATATATATTTATAGCATTTGAAAAACAAGACCAGTATAAATCAATACAGTAGTTTGCTCAATTATTTATTTTGTTTATTCAACGTTTTCTATTTATTGAGCAATCTAGAAATACGCCATAAGATAATATAAGAAATAATCAGATAGATGAGTCATAATTTGAAAGTTTTGACATACAATAGGTATTTTAGTGTGATACTAACGAGAGAATATTTATTATATGGGAAAGGCTGCAATTCATTCGAACTGTCTTATTGAGAATATTATTTTCTATTGTATTCTTTGAGTAAATTTTCAAGCATATATCTAAAGATTTATCATTCGAAAATTTAAATTAACTGAACTCTATAATCAATATCAAGTACAAAAGAACATAACTATTGAGAATGTTTTCCCATGACAATTAGACTATTTATTAGTGAAATTACGTTTGTAATACATTTTTATCACGAATTCAATTTGAATGATAAACAGTAATATAATTGATGAAATAAATTATGTATTCCGTTATTAAAAAAGAGGACAAATCTAGTTCTATATATGTAATGATAGATTTCTTAAAAATTCAAAAAAATTTTAGATAGAACTATTATTATATATCGTCTTTAGTCTTTTTAGATGTTTACATTTTATTAATCAGTAGGAGATTAGAAACTTAATATAATGGATATGCAAAATATCTGAATAAATCTATTATATTGAAAATAAAAATTGCATCAAATTATGTGTATTAATGTTTTATAGATAGACGTTATTGTTTATGTGCAGCCATTTGGATATAGCTATTAGTTGCATGAAAAACTTCTTTTCAAACACAGTTTTTTCTTTCTACTTGAAGACTAACATCATTTTAAGATATATAATAACTTATAGAAAGTAAATCAAAGAAATTTTCACAACAATATTGTAAGTGCATTTACAATAGACAAACATTAGAATAAAATAATAAATTTCATTCTTCATTTCTTCTATTATTATCTACTTGATCAATTAATCAATTATACTTCATAACTAAATATCCAAAAGGCTTTATACATAAGTAGTATTCTGTTAAATAATAGACATTAGAAAAAAAATATATATATATATATATATGGGATCCTCCCGATTCGTCCCTAATTGAAAATTACTTGGAAGAAACATCACAAGGGCGACAGTGTGGGTGAGGGCAAATCGGGAGTAAACCATATATATCGTATTTTCCAGTTTTATTTTATAATGCTTCTCCTGTCTATTATTTACATAAAATGAGTAATTACATTTATTGAACGGTGATCATTCTATTCATTTATTATTGACAATGGGTGTGCGATGATGTTTAAGTCTACAGAAAAATATGTTTGCATATATTTTTATATATATAAAAACTAAACTATTCTTTAGAGAAATATTTATGGAATCAACATAAAGAAAAGAGAGAGAGAGAGAAAGATAGAAAATAAGAGATATACTATCAGTAAAATGAGTAATAGAATCAATTGTGATTATGATTAGGAAAATATCAGCAGTATATATTAACAACTCAAAAGATATTTTATTATCATCATTTAATGGAAGTTTTATTAATAACAATATAAATTCCGATTCTCTTATAAATACTATTCTATTTATAATACTCATATGTGTGAGTATTCCAAGCATATTTATTAATCTATTTGCTTTATATCGATTAAATTCAAATAAAAAAACAAGTGCTTTTAATTTTCGTACAATTTTACATGTAAGTTTATTTACAACATGTACATGTGTACCATTATTTTTAATTGAATTACATTTTAATTCATATTTTCCATTATCACCATTCATATGTAAAATATGGCTAATAATTGATTATGCATCAATTGTTTGCCTTGGGCTTGTCGTATGTTGGACATCAATACAACGTCATATACTTATATTTGGTCCTATACAAATTAAAAAACGTCAATCGACATTAAAATTTAAATTAATACCAAGTATTCTTGCATTAGGACTTCCTATAACATGGTATTCTCTATTAGCATCAACATGTACATATGATAAAACATTAGATACAACATTTGAATGTCGTCCATGTTTTGAAGATGAAAAATTTATTTTTCTACTTGATACTATTTTTAGTTTAATATTACCATTATCAATAACTATAACAGCAACATGTTTTCTAGTTGTACGTCTTGTACGTTTACGTCTTACTGTACTTCATTTACCATCGAAACGATGGCGTCGTTGTAAACGTTTAACATGTCAAGTGATATTATTTTCATCAATCTATTTAATTGGTCTTGTACCTTATGTATTAACAAATTTAAATTCTTTATACAATTTTTGGCCATTATTAAATCGAACTTGGTGTGTAAAAATAGCAAATGCATTTACATATGTTCCTTGTTGTTTTTCATCATTTTTGAGTATCTATGCATTTCCAGAAATCTGGATAAATCAAAAAACTAATCGTCATCATAAAATAAATCAAAAATGTAATACAGCGGCGATTAGTACAAATAATATTACATCACCAGTGATATCTAGTGAGATTTAATTATTTGAATAATTAACAAAAAATAAAATACATATTTAATTTTATATTTGTTTGTATTTCTTATATAGTTATAAATTTAAAAAAGTACAAAATTTAATTCATATGTTTATTTTATCCAAACCAACGTCGAGTACGATCCCAAACAAAGAGTGATATTGCATTAAGTATAAATGCTCGTGTAGCTATAGCTGTCCAACCACAAAAAAATGCATGCATACCATTTCCTGTTCGATATACTTCCACTAGACATTGTAATAAACTTTTATTGGTATATCCAGCTTGTTGTTTACTTTTACATATATCAACTGGACAAGCTAATGTCCAACTTATGACACCAACTGTACCACCAGATATGAGACCACCAATGAGTTCACTATTTGTTGATGTATGTAAAAATCTTTTTAATGGATCATAGATCATCATATAAAGACCTATCAATAGATAAAAATAGAATAAATATTATTATTATTGTTGTTTTCTTGCATGAATATCAATATTCTCAACAATTTCTAATAAATAGTATAAAATTGAAATACACTGATTTTGAAGAGAAATATTTTATCTGATCTATAATTACCATATGTAGGCGTATCTCGCCAAATAGTTGCATGTAAACCACAAGTAAGTCCTCGAAATCCTTCTGTTTTAATCAAATGACGAAATACTTGATAAACATTTGCTTTTTGCTGATGACCTTTATATAAAGAAAAACAAAATCTTTTTCATTCTCTTTTCAAAACGAGTTATTTCAGTTGTTTACTTGTTGTTTGTAAACGAATTTTAAGTAGTTCAAATACACTTGAAGGAAATGCTTGAATAAGACCACCAAAAGATCCAGCAATAAAATTTTGTAATAATGTAATTGATTCATGATCGTCACGATTTGCTCCTAATAAACGAAGACAACCAGCATATGAACCATAAAAAGATGTTTGAGATGCACATTGAGTAATTAAATTAGGTGAGACACCACGATAAAAACCGCCTATCTATGTTAAAATAATATTTGTATAATAATAGAATTTCATATATTCTCTTACGGAATTTAATTTAACAATCGATCTAATTGCTCCAGAAATACTATGTGTTGAATGGTATTGCATAGTAACTTTAAGTGTATCGAGTGGATGTGAAACAAATGTACTTACAACACCTAAACAAAAATAAATTATCCAAACTAATAATCTTCAAGTTTATCATATTAATTGAAATATTCCTACCTGCAAATAATCCTCCTACATAATCATTCATCGTATTTCGTTATATATTTGTATATGTAAGTAATAGAAATTTTATTTTTTTGTTTATATGCTCACTTGTTTACCATCTAATTTGTCTTTTTTGTTTTCTTGACTCTACTATCTATTTATCTGTGTCATATATAAATACGAAAAAAATTGTATATGACAGATAAGAATATTCTTTTCGCCTCACCGTGTTCTTTTGATTAGACATTTTAAAGCTTTATCAGAACAACGTAACCATAGCAGATAACTGAATTAATATGATTATATAGATATATGTATGACTGATAATTTTTTCAATACGATTGAACGTCACATGAATATGCCTAATTATTTTTTTGTATAATGGTGTTTTCATTCGAAATTCTAATTATGATGTTCAAATTACGATTTATGTGTCAAAATTCGTTGTAGACAAATATATTATTTTTATACCAAGGGACCTGATAAGAAAAGAAGCTTTTTTTCAACATTAAAATAATGAAAATAGATGTCTCATTCATAAGCAGATCAAGGTGAATGATGCTTTATACTATTTCATTCTTTTCAATTCAAAACATTTAATTCGAATAGGCTATGAATCAATCGTCTATTCAGTAGTATATCTTATGGCACGTTGACATTCAAGGAAAATGCGCTTTAGGTAACATGCAACAAAGTAGTTGGAAGCTTTTGTCACATAGCATAAGTATAGAATATCGTACAATGTATTATTCAGAAAAAAACAACAATGTTAAAACCGATTTGTAAGTTTTTATATGAATCATTCTGGAAAATTGTACTTCTTTCATATATATATATATATATATATATTGAATCCTTCACAACAGTAAAAGCAAGAACATGTATAAAACCGAAAAAGTACAGCAAAAAGATATAAGGATTGTGCTGAATATATAACATATTAATCTTGTTTAAAAATAAATGTATACACAATAAAGCTAATATTTACAGTTAAATATAATTCACGCAGGATAATAAGAAGAATTATTTGATATGGGTCTATAAAAGAAGATGATAGAAGCTTCACTAATAACATATATTGCATATGAAATATATTTTTTTGTGTTAGATTTTTTAATATCGATAATTATATGTAAAGTAAACGAACACGAGATGTTGATACTTCAAGTTCACCGTCGAAGAATTTAGTCTCAATTACAACATTACCACTAAAATAAAAATAATAATTTAAATAGATAGATTGAAGTCTTACTTGAGTAAATTTGCTGGTATCATTTGATCTTGTGCTGCTTCAATCAATGATTGCCAAGTATTAGTGGAACCAGGCATAACAAATCCAAATGAAAATGACCATTCTAAATTGTATAAATATATTTATTAAATAATAATTGAATTTAATATTTCACTTCTATTTTATCGTATATTATTTTACCTTCAATAATTGTTCCTTTAAAATAAACACGTTGTTCTAAACGAAATTGATTCATTTCTTCTTCTGATGAAAATTGAATTTCACGTGAAACAGCACGACATTTTAATATAGCTTTTGGTACTCGTGCTTCATGTTCAGCACCAGGTATTGTTCTATATTAATAGAATTAAAATCATAATATTGAAATAAAATATTTTACATACAAATTTTCTGTTGATTGCCAAAGAATTTTACCTGAATCTGCATCTCGTAAATTCATCGAATGAAATTTAAATCCATTTAATATATCTTCAGCTCGTTGAGAACTAGCCATTAGAGTTAATTTCAAAAAAATTCGAAATAATATGTGCAACTATTCACCTGCCCGTGTAATAAATACGTTATAAAAAAAAAGATTTTCTTTTTCTCCAAGAATAGAAAGGAAATAGATTTTATCTGCTTCCGTGCACAAGCTTTACTTTCATATTATTAAATTCTTCTTCCTTTCTTTTTCTTCTTTTTTAAAGAACAGTCTTCTTCGAGACTTCTTCGAAAGTTGATAAAAAAAAGAAGCGTGTTACTAGTGACAGTACCTCAATATAAAAAATTTTCCATCTAAAGCGACATCGGCTAACATTTTATTGGTTTATTTTCTAAACCATTTAGATATTGCAACATTGATATATTAATTTGATTGTTGTTTATTGTTTATAATCATTCATTCCATTGAATTTATATTCAACAATGAAGTTTCTATATCTATTTATCTTTTTTATCCATCAATGTTATTCAGCTGGAATTATGGATAATGTTGTATTTGCTGTTAATTGTGGTGGCGATTCCCACACAGATGTTAATGGTAAGATAAAAGAAAGACAAAAGTTTTTTTTAATTTTTTTTGTTCACCTTCAAAGGAATAAGATATCGTAAAGATTATCTTAAAACTGGTATCACTTCGGATTATGGACGTAATTCAATAATACATCGTGTGCCAAAAGATGATATGGTACTTTATCAAACTGAACGTTATGATTTACAAAAATTTTCATATGAAATCGATCTTAATGATGATGGTGATTATGTACTTTGGATGAAATTTGCTGAAGTTTGGTTTAATGGTCCAAATATGAAGGTTTGCTCAATTAAAAAATTCTAAGACTAAAAAACTAAGTTTCGATTCTTTAGGTTTTCCAAATTCTTCTCAACGATGAACATTCTGTTCTTGATGAATTTGATATTTTTTCTAAAGCTGGTCGTGCTACAGCACATGATGAATATATTCCATTTCAAATAAAAAATGGCCGTTTAGTTGTTAAATCTCGTAGTTCATCTTATTCAGGAAATTTAAAAGTTACATTTCAAAAACTTGATCATAGAGATAATCCAAAAGTCAATGCACTTGTTATATGGAAAGGAACTGTTGATCGTATGTTGCGACTATTTTTTGAAATTTTCTTTTTTATTACCTTTTCTTTTTTGTTAATTAAAGAAATTCCAAAATTACCACCAATTCCTGAACCAGAACAACCTGAAGAATTAGTACAAGAAGAAGATGATGAACCACCAGCTAAAGCAACAAAAGTTAAACGTAGTTTAAAAACAAGTGGACCCAAAGTTGTTGATCCATACACAGAAGATCAATCAAGTTCATTAATACCATTACTTATTGCAGTAGCTGCTGTTATTCCTGTTATTTTTTGTTTATGTCGTCTTTAAAAAAGATAGTTATTTGTTCGAAACAAGAAACATTTGATTTTAGTATTATTGTATTAACAACACCGTCCGTATAAAAAAAACAAACGACAAATTAATCCAACAAATAGTCTTCTGTCTATGTCATTTCTTTTTTTTCTTCCTCTCTCTTGCTTTTTCTCTAACAGAAACGAAAAAATAAGTTTTTTGTTTTCATGATAAAAATCATTGACCAATTTAGGTGCTCATTCCAACAGCAATTTTTATGTCTACACTGTTCGTATATTTGTTTGTTAACGATTAGAAATAAATAAAATCAAGGTACACTTTCTATTAATCAATGTAGTTTTGCATGAATAACTGCCCATGGATTGTCAGGTGCCACAGCAGGATGTTGAAGATTTTTATGTACAATAGTAATTACACGATTCTCTCCACGTGATTTTCCTAAAGCTATTAGAATATTAAGAATATCATTTGTACAATTAGGATTATCCCATATATCAAGTTGTTTTAATTGTTCACATTCAGATACAAGACGTACAATAGCATCACCAGTATAATTATGATTTCCAGCGAGTACAAGATGTAAAAGATTATTTGAATAATATTTTATTAAATTATTCAAAGTTCGATCAGTTAAATGTCGACAATAGGATAAATCAAGTGATTCAATTAATGTACATTTCTAAAAAAACAATATATATAATACAATTTCTATTATTAATATTAATTTACTCGAATAATTTGTTCACAATAATGATCATTTAATACATATCCACAACTTTTTAATGAAAGTACTTTTAAATATGGACATTTTTTCCAAACAGCTCTAATGCCTGATTCTAAAATTTTTACCACAAAATTCTTTTGTTTTGTGTATTTTAAAAAATGAATTCATACCTGTTAAATAAATGCCATCAAGATCTAAATGTTCTATTGTTTCGGAGAGTAAACTTTGCAATACTTTACTAGTTAATTTACCATTTCTTTTCATACGATGAATTATTTCACTAAATAAAGAATAAATGTATTATTATTCAAATGATTATGACTAATTTAAATAATTACTTGATTAAAAATTCATCAGGAAATCCTTCAAAATCATATTTATCAATATTTTGACAAACATATTCTAATGTTAAATCTAATAAACGACGTATTTGAGTTTGATGATGAAATGGATTCTAGAAATAGAGAAAATGAATAAATATAAATATGTCAAGAAATGAAAAACTAATTATACTTACTCGTTCAAATTTTCGACCATAAGCTGCTCGAACATAAACTCCATTTGGACGTTTTTCCCATTGATATCTATGTGTTTTTCTATATGAATATGATGTTTGAATTTCTCCAAGTAATTCATTTTCTGTGTATTCACTTAAAAGTGAAACTTTTTTAAGATCTTCTAATGGAATCCAACCTATTCAATAAAAACATGGCATCATTTATATTTTTTATCTTATATAAAAATACTACATACCTTCATCAACTCGGCAACCTTCTTTTTCTGCACCATACCGAAGTATATAAGCAAGTCGTTTACCTAATCTTAATTGTCTTCGTTCATATTGTCTTACTAAATTAATATTATCCTTCTGTTCAGGTAGTCTTTTAATATCATCGTCAATACTAAGCATTTTCTTTTGTTTTTGTCTATTACGAATAACGAAAAAAAATAAAAAATTACATAAAAATATTTCACTCTTTTACATCATTATTTATATATTACTCATGAAGAAGAACGAGAAAAAGGAAAAAAAACATAATAACACAGTGATGATGCAATAACCATATTTCAACTATTGCTTGCAATTCGACAAAATTCACCACGCATTGACAATTTACCTACAGCGCTATGATTTGACCATGATAATTTATTACAAGGTATACCAGAACTACATTTAAGATCTTTACCACCATTACAATCTTTCCATATAACTTCATTCGTATTCATAATCCATTTTTCATTTGCATATTCTGGTTGAATACATTTTCCACAGCCTATATGAGGAACCATATCATTTCCATTAACTACACGAACATAACGTTCATTTGGTGTATTTAATTTCTTTGTTATTTCATTGACAAATGCTGCTGAACCAAGTAATGGTTGACCAAATGTATAGATAGCCGACATTCGTTGATTAATATCATTTTGACTAGCAAAATATGCAGCATTTAAAAATGCCCATGAAGCACCAAGTGAATGACCAACAACAATAAATGAAAAAGCAGGATTTGAATATCGACTAAGAACTGGACGAAGAGCAGATACAATTGCTGTTTTTTCATGTTGAAATCGTTGATAAAAACCACTATCAACATAAACATCTTTTGATGAAGATAAATAAGAAAAATCTCGATTGAGTAAGCCATGTGTATTATGTATATTAAAACGATCAAGATCATCAAACACATCACTCTAAAATATATACTTATTTTTCTATATATATTTAATTCAATTTTCTACATACTGGATTTGATGTTTTAGTTCCACGATGAACAAGTATAATTGATTGTTGAGCAATATTTGATGCAATATACCAATATGAAACACGTTTTCTATCAAAACCAGTTGCTTCAATTGTGAAATTACCAACACGAAGATTTTTCTTTGCCATATTTCTTATTGAAGATATGTCTGATGGTGCACCTAACATAGTCGATTTACAATAAATCATGGCTTGATATTCAGCCATACGAAGAATAGTATCTGGCTCTATAAATCAAATTTGAAAATGAATATTTTCTTTTCAAAAATAATTTACCACGAAGATTCATACGACTAAATGGTATTGAATTTTTTGTATTTGTTCGATAGTTGCCTTCGGGAAATGTACTTTGCCATGAAGCTGTTATTTCCTTTATACTTCGATTTCTGAATGGTGATTCTTGAAATTCATTTTTATACGTACTCTATAATATATAATCATTCGACATAATTTTATTTTTATATGAAATTAACTTACAGTAAAATCATGAATATCACATTGAAATTTACCTAATTCCTTACGAATAATGTTTCCCAATAGAGATTTTTCTTGTAAACTTGATATAATTAAAATATGTAATAAAAAGCAGATATACGTGTAAAAAATCATCGTCAAATCAAATAAAGATCTAAATATTGAATCGACAGATAAGAAAATAAACAAAATCACTTTTCATATATATGTAATATATATATAGAAAACAGAGCGGTCGAAGTTTATCTATACATATGTTAGATGTACTTTATTCATTCATATAAGTTCATGTAATACGAACTATGATCATACTGATTGAATAGACGGAAAAAAACAAGAATGAAAGAATCGAACTTCATAAATTCTTTTCTCTTATAGAATTTATTAAATCATACTATCTGTGATATAACACTCATTATATCGATTATATTTCGAAAAACAAGGAAATAGAAGCTTTCAATTACTTTCTACATTGCCATAAATTATATTATATCTATTATGACATCTTAACCACCATATTCGTTTCTTTTAGAATTAAGAATTAAATTTAATCTTTTGTTCTGAGCTTCTTTCTCACTTTTCATTATTGATATCAATCAATAAAAATAAGATCAAATTTTTATAATCAGATCACTAGAAATCTTTTATTTTACAATACAATTAACAATTCAAAGAATTTATTTTTGAAGTCATATAAAAGGTGTTACTACTCACTTGGCAATTGTGTATTGTATTCTGATAAGTTTTCCCTAGTTTACAACTTTTCATAAAAAGCATAAAACGTGTCATTTTCGATTTCATGTTTATCAATTGTCAAATTCACACAAAAATTTTCAAATATTTTCTTTCTCAATAAATATTTAATATCAATTTAAAATACTTTTCGATTATCTATTACTAATAGCAAAGAAGCTCATATATAAAAACAAGCTTATTTCATTAGTTGACGATTAATTGGCTATACATTTTAATTAGACAAATTGAGAAAAGAAAATCTATTCAATACGATTGGTTCCGATAAAATTTGTTTTTATGTTCAACGACGAATACTCATCTTTTTTTTTTCTTTTTCTTCTTCTCTCTCTTCCTTTTTTCTCCTATTAATTATTTGTTTATATTGAAAAAGGAAAACATATACATTACTCAGTTTGATCTTTACCTAGTTGTTTGTATATTCAATTGAACAACATATTCTTCTGCATAAGAATAATGCAATCGATTCCAAACAATAGTAAATAACAATATAATTTGCTTGTATATACTCACAGCTTGATTTCATTTATTTAGTTTATTATCAACAAAATTCTGAATATGATTTAATAATGAATAAATATCAATTTCACGATTCAGGTATTGTTGACGAAGGTCTTTCTGATGAAACTGAATCAATTGAAGAAGATTTAAATAATCAATCAGGTATGTTAATAAATAATTTTTGTATTTCTATATTCTTAAAAATTTTTCTATGTGAAGACGAAAATGAAATACCAAAAAAACCAAGTCAATCATATTTAGAAATAATTGCGGAAGCGATTCTAAAATCATCGAATCGTATGATGCAATTATATGAAATTTATAATTATTTTCAACGAAAGTATGTTATGAAAATTCTTGTATGAAAGTTTGAAATAAAAATGAATTATATTTAGATATCGATATTTTGCAGAAGATATAAATAAATCATGGAAAAATAGTGTAAGACATAATTTATCATTAAATGATTGTTTTGTTAAAGCAGGACGTGGAAATAATGGTAAAGGACATTGTAAGTAATCGAAAGAAATATATTCAACTGTTTAAAAAATATATTTTTAGTTTGGCGTATTCATGAATTAGCAGAACGAGAATTTGAACAAGGACGATTTCGACGTCGCCGTTATCGTCAACAAATGCGAGATTTACATTTGCAAGCGAATTCATCTTACAATGGACATCAATCGATATCATCTTTTTATCCTGCTGCTCCTCCTCCTCCTTCTACTAATTCATATTATATGTGTTCTCCACATCATCCTCCATCATATCATGCAATATATTCAAGTCCAAATATTTCATCAGAATCTCATCCAATGACTTCATCACCTTTACAAAATATTTGCTTATCATCTTCAACACCCACATCTTATCCATCATATGATCCGTATGCAGCATCTTATTATCCAACACATTATCATTCAATGGCTTCGTCTTATACAAGTCCGAATGTATCAACAAATTTTGAACTTGAATAACTTTCCTTGAATGATTTTATTTCTTATTATTGTCTATATTTTCGTCTTAAAAAAACAATAAATAAATAAATAAATAAAAGATGAGCATAAATGATAGGCGTAAAAATCTCAAATCGATTAGTTATGTTAGTTGACTAAGAAGAAGAAAATTTGTACAAATGACCTTCAAAAAGAAAGAAAATAGATAGCGTGAAATCGATGTTTTTTATTGTTTAATAACACATTTTTTTGTATGATGTCGGTATAGAACAAAATGGCTTATCGAATAGACAAACTTAACCCGTAGGCTGTTTTGTTATTTCACACATAACTCAGTATCATGACTCAATTAGACAAACAACAGCAGGGAGTATACCTATATTCACACTTAAGATTAATCCGATATTTTTTGTGTATATGTATAATATTCCTTGTTGAATGTGTATCAAAATTGTCAATGAGATTTGAAATAATTGTAGTAAATTTATTGAACACAAATGAATTTAGGAGATTTTTCCATTAGTTTCATTCTATGTAATAAAATGAATTGATTAAAAATAATCATATATTATAAGTTAGTTTGAGAGAATTAAAACGGGAAAGGAATATTGAGTGACAATAATGCAGAAAATAGTTTGTTCATGTTAGTGAAACAAAGTTTTCATTGTTAGATCATTTTGTTGAGATATAAAAAAAGCCATTCCTTCAAATGCGATGAATACAAGGAATATCAACGGATTGAACATATTGATCAAGTTCATAAATCTTGTCTTCAATAAGATCAGTTGCAATCTAGAAAATGATGAATGTGCAAGAAACTATAAAGAGGAAAGGTGTTTGTTACTTTATCATCTTCGATTACACAAGTCATTTGTAGTTTTACAATACCAAAAGCATATGGAACACGCTTAGCTATAAAAACAAAAATAAGAACTAAATTAAAAGGATTATACTATTTAGTTTTTACTTACATTGTCCCCAAACTAAACCATCAAATTTAATTGATCTTACTGCTTGTTCCATCGCATCGATATCAGTGTCCTCATCCCAAGGTTTAATATCGAAGTTAATTGTAGATCGTACTACGAGATTTAATGGTACAATTATAGATGTGTTTGTTTTTTTAATTTTTTCGTTGTCTAAGTCGTATGAAGTAGTAGTCGTTGGTGTAGATTTAAGTGTGTCCTTTCAAAATAAAATTTGTTAAATAGCATCGTGATGAAATTTATAATATAAAAAAATCTGATAAAACATTAATGAGTATAACTGATTCTTTGTTTACTTTATTCGAATTTTTTTTTCGAAAAAATATCACATTGATATTATTATCGATTTATGTTAGGAGAGTATATTTTATACTGTGAAGTTCTCATTTCCGAATGACATCTCAGTAAATTAGAGAAAATTGTAATGTTTGTACATATAGAATAAAACTTATATATGTCAGTATTTCGAGTGATAGTTTAATTTCATGAGAAGAATACCTATTTTAATATTATTACGATAATAGGAGACTTTTAATCGCATTAAAGATGTTTGTAAAGAATATAGACCACCGATAATATAGTATATAAACTTACGAATACAGAATAATGTAGTTGTTCTGCACGATCTATTTCATATTTTGAAAACCAGTTATTGATATGAATTAAATTTTCAGCCATTGCTTTCTTCTTTCAAAAACAATTTAATAAAATATGTTAAAAATGAAGTTTTTGTATTCTCAGAATGATATATATAAAGATAGTTTAGCAAAATTTCATCATTTTTGATAGATGTTTTCGAAATTACTAGTTTAATATGTTCTCATGTCGTAATTACATTCAAAAAACTTATTGGTTGAAAATCGCCATTAAAACGTACTTAATCACTGATTTTCGTTTGATTAACGATTGATAAAACCCAGATGACTCATACTTTATTAAAAGATTATATTAAATTATGATAAGTCCAATGTTTTAGCTTTCACATCAAGACACACGAAACTTAATTTTTGGTCGAGTAAGACACTTTATATTGGGAGTAGGCTTTTGTAAATATACATTTCAAATTGCAAATGTTGTGATGCTCTATATACTTTTTACCAAAGGAGTTATTGATGCAAGGACAAGAATATATTGATGTTCTTAATGAGCATATAGTCCTTTTGTTTCATATCCAATTCTTATCTTTATAATATGGAAATCTTCTAGATTTATAGAACTAAAATTTCATCTAGATATTATTACATCTTCTAATAATTGCAAGAAAGAAATATATTTTGATTTCTGAGACAATATATCACTTTACAAGTATCTAAAGAAAAAAGAATAAACTTTAACTGACATAGTATTGAAATATATTTCGATAATTTTGATCCTGTATAAATAGATGACAGCACTTAACTTAGATGTTAATTGGTTGGAAAGAGTTCCAATATATTATTCTCTTTTATTCATTCGTCAAATACAAAGCTATATACGATAGAAATAAAAATTAGAAACAATTTTTGATAAATCAAATGGCAAAACATCATCCAGATTTAATATTTTGTCGTAAACAAGCTGGTGTAGCTATCGGTCGTCTTTGTGAAAAATGTGATGGTCGTTGTGTTATTTGTGATTCATATGTTCGTCCAACAACACTTGTTCGAATATGTGATGAATGTAATTATGGTTCATATCAAGGCCGGTGCGTTATATGTGGTGGTCCTGGTTGTTCAGATGCCTATTATTGTCGTGAATGCACAATTACAGAAAAAGATCGTGATGGTTGTCCAAAGATTGTTAATTTAGGAAGTGCTAAAACAGATCTATTTTATGAACGAAAAAAATTTGGTTTTAAGAAACGTTAAATATCTGTCTTTTTTTGTTGTTGTTATTATTTTTGATGTAGACAATAAAATGTTGATTTTGTCTGTGTTTGTTCTAGATAAATATGGAACGAAAACGTAAAATAGATTTTATTAATAATATTGAATCAGATGAAATACCGAAAAGATTAAAGAAATTTACTAACGAAAGTGAACAGGCACATTTACATAGTGATGTAGTGCTGAATCATCATAAAGCATTGAACCAAAATAGTTCTAATGGTATGTGAAAGAAAATAATGGGTTAAGTTTTCTTTGAACAGATCAAGAAACTTTTGATTATTTAGAAATTGAACAAGCAACGATTAATTTTGATGATACAATTAAAATTACTCAGTTTAATATTGATGAAAAAATGGAGGAAGAACATTTTGATAACACGAAATATTTACAATGGGAAAAGATAGATGTACGTAGAAATTTATATTCAACTCTCATCTAAATCGAGAAAACGTTTCTTACGAATTAACTTGTATCCTTCCATGTATATCTAATACTTTTTAATAATATATCAAAGATTATTTCTATATAACATTTTTTAATGATAATCTATTTTATTCTTACTTGAATTATTTTAGAAGAATGCAGTCGATTGGACAAATTATAAACTAAAAAATGTTGAAGTAATTAAAGATAATATTGATAATAATTTATCAGATACTGATTTATTAAATAATGATGAAGATAACGAAGAAAATGATCATCAATTTAATGAGATTAATGCATTAAATTCTCTACTTGCAATTATGCAACCAACTGAAACTGTTGTTCGAGCAATAAAACGACTTGGAGTTACTGCAGCAAGGTAAAATTTATTTTGCAAAAATAAAAAAGAATTTTATATACATATATTTTTATCTTTTAGTAATAAATCTAAACAACGTATAAAACAACGTAAACCACAAACTGAAAAAATTTCAACTATATCATCATCTGTTGAATTAACGTCTGAAGAATTAAAAAAAAATAAATTGTTATTAGAAGAAATGACTGGTCTTGCTGATCAGTTTGTATATAATGGTAATTTAGCTATTTATGAAGAAACATATGAACAACTTAAAATAAAACTTGATCATATACAATTATCTACGGCTAATTCAATAACTAATATGTAAGATAACACTGATATTACTTTAACAATAGCATATTCAATATTATTAGTTAATAAACATGGTAAAAAAGAAAGATATTTTTCTTTTATTGTTATATGTTATTTATCTTTTCATTACAGATAAAACTATTTATTGTCCTTTTACAATTGAACCATTAATTTAATTAACTAATATGGAGAATAACTTCGATGAAGATGAAGTATACTGTTGTTATATCGGTACCGATCAATATGTATTGACTTTGAACTTTATTCCGAATAATAATCTTTCTATTTCTTTTTGTAATCAATTGAATCAATGGAAAAATATTGTTACTTTTGTTTTTTTTTAAATCTTTATTATATAAATATACATATGCTTTTGAGAAGGAGGGGATATGTTTAATCATCCTTTTTAGTCCGATCTTAACAGCACCCATAAAAGAGGCGGTATAAAGAAAAGAAAATAGACAAAGACAAGACATATAGTTTACATACTGTCACGTACATAGTGAACGATGGACATTAGACACAAAACGTAAAGACAAAGACATGTAATATAAGACGAAGACAAAGACAAGAAAATATATATGAAAACATAAAGGAATGGATGTGGACGGATGAAATATAATAAATAAAAATAGAAAAAAAAATCGATCGATTTAAATTGGAGAGGAGATAATTAAAAGTGAAAAAAGGATAAGATGTTATTTTATATTAAAAAAGAAAAAGCACTCCTTCTCCATACCAGATGAAAAAAATATAGAGTCTTTCGTGTCATTCTGGAAGCTCATTTAAAGATTGACTGGTTTATTTTTGGTCATCATTGTTTCTTGAATTTTTTTTAATTGTTCAACTGTTGGTCGGGCTTTGTGAACAGCATCAACAAATGAGTATCCAAGAAGATTTGGTTGAAGTTGCATTGGCATAAGACGAACTAATTCGGTTGCTTGATCAAGATAGTCATAAGCACGGATTTTAATTGGTGCCCATGATGAAACGAATGATAAACGTTCAAGACACCATTCAAGGCAGATTTGTTTACCGTACATTGTTGATGGAACATTAAGGAAGAAGCTGATTGAATTGCATCGTCGGTTGTATGTAAAGTACATAGCTTCTGGAACTCGGCTTAAGAAGAATCCAATTTGACGAAGGTTAATACGCATACCTAATTATAAAAGAAAAGTCAAATTAATAAGAATTTGGTATTTTCTTTTTTCGAATTTTACCTGATGGGAGTTGAACTTCAACAATAACTGTTCGGTTGAATGTATCTTTGGCGAATTGTTGATCTTTAACTGTTGGTGTATATGTTAAACATGTTTTGGTAACAATTTCGCTTAACCATGGCATTGGTAAAAAGTCATTTGTTAATGTGAATGGTACTGGTTTAACCATTTGTTGTTGTTTTTCAATGAAGATTTGTCGAATAGTAACAGCAACGAAACCGAAACCACTGACTGAATAGGTGATTGTGTTAACTGGTAAGTTAAATCGGAATTTTTGTGTGATATCCATAGTTTTTGAGTCAATTTTGAATTGTTGTTTTTGTCCATTATCAGTTGTAACATCAACAATAACTGAGAATTTTTCTCGATCAAATCGTTGACGGTAAAGACAATCAGTCATAATCCAAGCTTCAGTAAGAAAAACACCATCTAAGATTGTATCAAATCGATAGATAGCACTTTGTTGAACAATCCAACGAGCCATATCTGATGTTGTTTTCATGTCACCGAATGTAGCATAGAGTGAGACCATTAATGAATTAAGTAATAATTCATCTTCAATTGTCATTTTTTCACTTGTATATTTAAAGTATTTTGAACCATCTTCTGGCATAACAGTTAATTGACGGCTACGAACATCATCGAAAATTCGTTGTCTCATTGGTGCTGGTAATGATTGGCATTGAACAAGAGATAATTGAATTAATGATGTGGTCAATAAACATGATTTAACGGCATCAAGACGTGATTCTAAATAACGTTGAGCACGGAAGATTGGACTTTGTTCACCCATGAATAATTGTTGACGAACAAATTCTGGAGCAAATCGTGAAATGTTATGACGTGTCATGGTATATAAGACAAGAGCTGTTAATGATTCACGACGGAATTCACCTGAACAGAATCGATAATGGAAACATGGACCCATATCATCGAATGAACCATCTTCACGTTGTTGAGATAAAATCCATGATAATGTACGGTTCATTGTAACGTAATCACGAACTGGCATAAATGGTGCCATAATACTGCCGAAAGCTAATGTGGTTAAGAAGAGTGATGATTTTTGTTCACCTTGATCAGAAATAAATGAGTATGAACCATTGTAGTTGTTGTAAAGTTGAAGTTTTTGATAGGCTGATGACATATTACCAGCGGCTTCCATGAAGAGTGGTGATTCAGTTTGTAATGTATCATTAAGATAACGTCTAAGACCAAGTAAACGCCAGAGACGAATGATAGCACGATCAACACCAACTAATGCGCTTGTTTCTGTTGTGTAACGTTCAACGAGTTTATCGAGACCAGTACCTAGATTTAAATTAAAAAAAAATTAATATATAATTAAAAGACTATTTTTGTTTGAAAAAAATTTAATTTACCTGAAACTTCAAATCGAACTGATCGGAGGAATGGTGATGGTGTCATTTTTTCAACAATTGGGCCATATGATTTTTTGTCACTGATTAAATCAAATAAATGTGTTGAGAATTCTCGACGTTCAATACCTGATTCACGAACATATGTTGTTAAAACTTCATAGTCACCACCGAATTCAGATTCAACTTCAAGTAAAATCTTGACAACACCAGCGCGTTTTGGTACAAGAACAATGTTACGTGTAACAACACCATTAATTGGAATTGATGGAATTGTAATTGTATAATCTTTACCGTTGCTTGATGCAATACGTTCTGATTTGTCTTGTTCAATAAGATCAAAGTCAGCTGAGGCACGAATACGTACAATACAGTTGTTTAAATCTTTACCAAGATAGTTGTTGATACCGTATGTTAAAAGGATGTGTTCACCCATTTGAACTTGATCAGGGAAGTTAGCAAGAATGTAAAGACCTTGATTTGTTGGAAGACGAATTGGTTGAGCAACTGATAAACCTGATTTACCATTAAGTGCAAATCCAGTAGCGAGCCATGTTGAATATGGTTTTGTTCGTGGAAGAACAACTTTTCCGGTACCTGAGGCTTCAATACGGCTTGTGTTAAAGAAGATTGAACGGTAATAACCAGTACGGGCTTGTTCTTCAAGCATGATTGCTGGTGGAAGCATTGATGAACCAGATTCTACGAGATATTCGTCGAGTAATTGACGAGCTTCATCACGAACGCTGAATGATTGAAAGTCCATAGCTGATCGTCGTTTATATCCCATGAAGATGTTAGTTAAGTTTGTTCGTCGCATTTCACTTGGAATACGTAATGATGAAAAATCAGAGACAATTGTTAAACCAGATTGCATAAATGTAAATGCTTCTTGGCTGATTTTTGATAATTTTGAGTTCATTCGTTCGTACCATGCTGATGAACCATATTGTGAACCTTGTTGACCAACTTCGACATCATCTTGACCGACTGGTTTTTCTGTTGGTTGGTTAGTAGTTGCTTTGAATGCAAGTGGAATGCTTGTTGCAACAACAAAGTCATTGTCACTAACTGTAACATCATATTGACCTGCTGATGATTTTCCACCACGACGACGGTAACGTGTTTCTGGTGTTCGTTGACCTTGAACATCACCATATAATTGTCCCATATTTGATGTTGTATAAACATCATCACCTTCAATTGGTTTTAATCCACGGGTTGGAGCAACACCAAAGATCATTTTTTCAATTGGGTAACGAACTTTATATCCCTACACAGAGAAATTTGAAAAAAACAGTTAAATAAAATAATAATTAAACTTACTGTATGTTCGAGAGCCATGTTACGTTCTTCTTCTTCTTCGCTTACAACAGCTCGAAGACCTTTATGTCCATCGAATTCTCCTTTGTGTTCTGATTCTGGACGACGGAATTCTTCTGGTCGTTCGTGACGTTCTCCATTCATTCTTTCGTTTTCATGGAGTGGAAATTCGCGTTTGTGTGAATCAGCTGAGTGTTCTAATGGTGATCCGAATGTTGGCATACCCATAATTGGTACTTGTTCATATTGAGTTAAATAATGAAGTACACGTTCTTTGGTCATTTCACCTGATAAACCTTGTACAACAGCATCGTATTCAACAACATTGAATCCGACAATTGATTCTGGTGCACCAGTAAATGAAAGTTCAACACGTCGTCGATCTTGAGCACCGTTTGAAACTGAGACTGATTTAAGGTCAGCATCTTCAGATGAACTGAAATCATTATAAAATCCGGTCATTTCATCGTTAGCCATTGATTCAATTGTTGAATATGGAACAACTGTTGCATTTAATGTTAATGGAGCTTTGAAAAGACCAGCAACTGAGAATCGGTATGATTCAGCAACATTGATGCCAAGTAATGGTTGAAATGTATAGACAAGTAATGTTGAATATGGTGTCATTTCACGTGTAATTTGAATTGGTAAAGTACCATTCCATACGCAGACTGGTGCTCGTGATTCTTCTGGTTTCATTGAACGTTTTTGTGTTCCACATTCTTTTGTTGGCATCATCATAAATTCACCAGTGAATGTAATACGACCGTTTGTTAAAACAACGTATGACATTGGTAATCGTTCGAATTTTTGAATTGATTTTGATGGAACTAATTGAATGTAAAAGTTTGATGTACGATCAATTGTTGAAATTTGTGAGCTAATAACTGGTGTGTTGACATCACTTGAGACTGAGCTAGTTGTTGATGGTAAAAGTTCAATTGTTAATTTACCACCGCTAACGCCAGCGCTTGGTTGTGGCATAAGTGGAATAGCATGTGTACGATAACCACGGACTTTGCCATCTTCACCTAATGGTGTGATCTACAAAATAAAAATATAGAAAATAAGAAAAAAAACAAGAAAAAAAATGCTTACTGTCATAAGAACACCAATACATTTTGATGGAATTTCAATGTTGAAGAAACCAATATCATTGCGACCACTAACAATAGAACAAATATAAATTATATTTTTTAGAAGAAAATTAAAATTTGTACATACCGTGTATAGAAATCTTTAATTTCAACTACTTTTTCGTCTTGGAATTTGCCTTGTTCGTTACCCATCATCATTGTAATGCTGACAATTAAATCTTCCATTTTTGCTGGTTTACCATCTGGGCGTTTAGCAATAACTTCAAATTCATTTTCAATACCAGCAACGAATTCAAGAGGACGAATATCATAAACAACATCACGTGTAAATACAGGGATGATGTGTTGAATGAAACGTTCTTGACCTGATGCAAGTTCAGTTACTTGGATGTAGACTTGAACAGCAAGTACTTTTGTTACATCAATTTCGAATTTTGATAAAAGATCAAAGTTGATTTCAACACGACCAGCAATTTCGAATTTTTCTGATTTCCATTTGCGCCATTCTTCGGATAATGGTTTTTGTTCTTGTTTTGATGAATCTTTTCGTGAAACTTCCATTTTTTCTTTTTGTTCTTTCATCATAGTTTCGGCATCTTGTTCAGTGATTGCACCAACAGCAATGATAGCACGGCCAAAAATTGGTTCATTGTTATCACCATCGATTTCAACAACACCACGAAGTGTTTTATCTGTACGAAGAAGAAATCGTTGGAAGATAGCTTTAAGATCAAATGATGGTGTAGCTGGTTCAGCAACAAGTACTTCAATTGATGATGTTGTGTTAGCAACAGTAGCAGATACAAGCCATGTACCAATGTTACAGTGACGACCAATTGGAAATCGGTAGGTTTCAGTAAGACCTGAACGAACTGGGATGCTTGGAATATCACCAACGAGTTTAAGATTAGCATCCTAGAATTAAAAAAAATAATAAATATATAATTTTCAAAAGTAAATAAATAATAACTTACAAAAACTTCGATGAGGACTTCGAGGTTGTCAACTGGCATGAGTTTTTCATCAGTAACAACAACACGGATTTCCATTTCATCTTCTGGACGATAGGTGGATGCTGATGTTTGTACAAGTACAACATAACGATTGTCATAGACAATGATGTCACGTTTTTCTTCGAAGGTAATACCACCAGTTCCGATGATTGTTAATTCAGCGGGACCAACTGGAAATTCCATAGGAAGAGCTAATGTTGCATTGCGTGTTTCACCGGCTTTAACTGTGGTTAAACCTTGAATACGATGTTGACCAACGGTTAATTCAAATTTAACATCAACTGGTTGCTTTTCAGCACCAATGAAGATTGAAAGTTGATTTTCGTATCCAACTTTAAAGAGTTTAGGTACGATAATGAGATATGAACTAGAAATAATAACAATCGTTTAATATACATATTTAAATGAATAAAATATAATATATACTTTTCAGCAATAGCTACGCTTGAAATGGCAACCAAGCCAAGAATGATCAAAGACCACTAGAATACATAAATAAATCATAGTAAAAAAAAATATGAAACTAAAAGTTGCTTTTACTTACATTCATCTTTATGGTTGAAGAATAGGAGTTGTAAAGTTTACAGCCACTGGGCAACACTATTTATATGATAGTTATCATCGACTAGGCATAAACGATTATACAAGAAAGTTCTATAGTATTCACTCTCTCGCTTTGTTACACACAAAGGGAAAAAGATAGAATGAGAGAGATAGATGATCTAAGTATATATATTCTTTATCCCTAGATATCGACTGACACGTCATAATCAAGTACAAGAATGTTCGTTCGTTTCTTCGTTCGATTGTGCACTTTATCGACGATTCTATTATAGAAACATAGTCGACGGTTCACTTATCTGACCGTACTGAACTATAAAGAAAACTATTAGATATCCACTATTATGTTTAAACTAATATGTTAAAAAACTATATCAGATTCATTTATGCATATTTTTAAAATATAAATTTCAAACTAAAATGAAAGTCTTTATTTTTTCTTTAATTCAATTATTAATATGTTTGTTTTTTTTCCAAAAAAAAAATTTCAAATAAATGTTTGTATATATTCTTATCAAAAGAAAAGAAAACAAAATAAAATTCTACAAATTTAAGACCAAACACGTAATGTTCGATCACGTCCAGTTGAAACCATATATTGTCCTTTAAGATCAAATTTAACATGTTGAACTTCATCAGTATGACTACTTAATGGTATTAACTTAAAAGAAAAAAAAAACACAAAATTTCAATTTTTATAACCAAAAGAAGATTATAAAATGTTTAATAATAATATTCTACCTCTTCAGAACCAATATTATAAAGTTTAATTGTTCGATCACTAGAAGCTGTTGATAATAATTGACCTTTTTAATAAAAAATGAATTATTAATTAATGAAAAAATACTCCGTTGTTTTTTTGCGTCTTACCAGCTGGATGAAATGATACACTATTCGCAGAATGAGGTCCAAAGTCCAGTGTAACAATACTTTTGACTGTTCTTACATCCCATATTTTAACTATGCCTTTTGTATCACAAGATGCAATTGTATTACCCTGAAAAAAGTAATTTAAACAGATTTTTTAAAAATATTTTCTATTTAGAAAATTTACTCGTAAATTAAATGTTGCTTGATTACAAGCATTAGCATGACCAACAAATGTATGTTCTGCTAAACCCTTTAAAACAAAAAGTAAAGTATTCAATTTTAAATATTTTTTTTCTTGCTAATTTACTGTTCGAGCATCCCATAACATAAGAGTTTTATCAACTGAACTGGATAAAATAATATTTGAAAACATTAAAAATTCAGCTGAATGAACGGAATCTTGATGTCCACGCAGAACAGTTCGACAACGAAGGCTAATAATAATAGTAATAATTTGTTTTTTATATTTATATTATGAAGAAAAAAAATTTAATAAACCTATTTAAATCCCATAATCGAACTGTTTTATCTTGAGAAGCTGATGTAATAAAATCTCCACATGAATGAAAATTAACAGACCAAACTAAAATAAAATTACTATGACGAAAAATAAACAAACAATAGCGATGATTTTACCTGGTAAAAGATGATTTGTAAATGTATGAACACATTTCTTTTGTGAAAAATCCCAAATTTTAATCGATGTATCACCAGAACATGTTGCCATTTTATTTCCACTTGGATGAAAATCAACTCCAGATCTTTTGAAATAAGAATTTCATTTAAAAAGAAAATGCTAGAAAAATAACACATTCTTACATCCAGTCAGTATGTCCTTCACCTTTCATAATCATATCACCTAAATAAAAATCATAGGATTGATATTTATAAAATTTATAGATTTATTTTACCTTCAGGGATTGCCCACATTTTCCATGTTCGATCATCACTTACCTTTGTTAAGAGAGTCAAAAAAATAATTTAATAGATTTTATATTTAAATTTCTACATACAGTTACAGCAACATGTTTACGTGGATGAATTGCAGCACTAAAAAAATGTATAGATATACAAAATCATCTTCTTATCAACCGTGTAAGTATATTGTGAGCATCAAGTTTTATTAATACTATATGACTGATCGCCATTAGAGCTTATGTTTTAATTATGACTAAGCTTGATGAATAGATGAAAATGTTAAGAAAAACTAATCATAGCCAATAATTGTTGTATGAAATTTCTTTCAATTTGTAACAGATCTTATAGTTTTTAAACTATCATGATAGCCTTAGTTCTAATGGATAATCTCACTCTAAAATATCGACTATCCAAGAACTGAATTCTGTTAAAAAGCATATTTTTAATAAGTATATTATCTCGGAAGAGGAACAGTTAAGATGAAACTTTCAAAATATCATAATAATGATGATATCAGTTGTTGAAGAAGATTTTAAGTGGAAACTACTTTTCACAATTTTTTGCTTCCTCATAAGTGAATGTTTTCAATAACATAGTTTATCCTTCCAAACATAACATCACTCATCTTAAAATAAAAATCGTATATATATATATCTACTTTTTTTTAATAAATCTTTATAAACTGAAAAACGTGTATCACTAATGAGTTATTCACTATCGAATTTTTATGTCTTAAAAATTTATTATTTTCCACGGTAATAAAGAAATATGACAGTAATTGTTTGAGAATTTAAATTGATTTTACTTACCAACTAATAGGACCTTCATGTGCTAGTATTTCTTTTGCTAATGTTAATGTTGATCGATGAAAAGCATCTTCAGCAAATCGATTTAGATATGGATTATTTCCTGTATCAGTTGGAAATTCCGAATCCTACATTTATATATATATGTATAATATTATTACAATTAAATAAGTAAAATTATCTACAAACTTTTGGATTTAATTCATTTGTTTCATCATTCGTATCACCAAATCGCTGTTGTTCCATTGATATTGTTACTTTTTTCTTTCCTTCTTTAGTTCTTAATTCTCGAAGTTTTGTTTGTGTTGGTCCTAATCCAACATCTCTATTATCTACATACAATAAAAATAGTCTTATTTAATTACTATATGTAATTTTTTCTTTTACTTTGTGATGGTGTTGAACTACCTAATTTTAATGTATTTAATTCATTTTGTAATTTATCTTTTTCTAATTTATAAATCATTTTTTCTCGTAAAGCTCCATCATATTTAGTTTTCAATTCATCTAATTGTGGTTCATATGTCGATAGATGAGATTTTAATCTAATAAAATATTAATTTTAATTTCTTATTTAATTCAAAGAAAAAACATCTTTTCTTTTTATTACCGTTTAACAAATGTAACAAGATTATTTTTTTCTTGTGCAATACGATTATGATGTTGTCGATGAAAATCACGTTCTTTTTTCATTTTAATGAATTCATCTCGTGCTTTTCTATAATAATGAGAAAATATTTGTTTTTATTTTTGTTATTGCATTATATTTAATGTTATACTCGGCTGATTTTCGATATCGATCAACTTCTGATTCGAGTAATTTCATTTTCTCACTTAATTCTTCATTATGTTTAACAACATCAGGTAAATAACCAGCTTCATTAGTTTTAATTCTTCCCGATGATGATAAATTATGCCATTCAACTTGAAATTGTTGCATGGTTTTTTTCATACCCATACGAACAAGAAAATTACGAACAAAATCATCAACAGCTTCTGGTTGAGTTGTTAATGTACCACGAGGAAGTGAAGCTGATGTCTATAGAATAGAATAATGAAATTTTTGATATAATTATAATAATATGTTTATACTGATGTGGGTATGACTTGGGATTCACGTTGTTGATCTTTGACATTACGAATAAGTGCATCAAATGTCTCTTCTTTATCTAGAATAAGTTTTAATAAAATAAAAATGATATAGTAATGTTAAATAAAATATACCATCATCATAAAAATCTTCAACAGGTACTTCTTCATATTCAAATTCATCATTATTATCAACTGCACGAACATAGCGTTCTAAAAATAAATTATTGTATGCATTTGTATATTTGAAAAAATTAAAAATAATTAAAATACTTTCAACATAATATGGAACGTCGGCGATATTTGCTAAATCTATTTTTGTTGATGGATTATTACGTATTTGTACATCTTTTCGACCAACATCATGTACATTTGTTGCAGCCATTGTAGCCATTGATGATTATAGCAAAACTATTTTTCTATAGGGTAGATAGACTTAGATGTTTGCATGTTTCATTCGTCATTTGCTAGTAAGATCAAACTATGTTGCTAGACAAATACCTCTATGAGGATACAATAAGCGCCATCTATATATATATATTCGTAAGCGCGATCATCAATATTTTTGTACATTAATTCATTTTTACTTTTATAATATAGAAGAAATTAGTTGTATAGAATTGTAATATTCTTATCATGTAGTTTTCCCCTTCATGTGTTTCTAATGATTAAAATATTTCAGTTTTTGTTTGAATGACATTTACTGGTGAAAATGGATTATCTGTATTCGTTTTATTGTTTTATCCTCGTGGGATAAATCATAGTAGAAAGTAAGAAAATAAAACAAAACTTAAAACTCTGAAGTGTATTCAATGATATTTGGATGATCATTTTTTCTCTACAGTTTTTGCAAAATGATAGCTATCGTTGTTTATATAAGACACACTTACTACAAACTGTTGACACCACTATTAAAATGACAAATACTATTAAGAATCAACAAAAAAAAATATTTATTCAAAGCTAGATTAGCTATGCAAGAATTCAATATTTTTCTATTTTACTCGAAGAAACAAATCAAAGAATAAATGAATCAATATACATAATTATTAGATGATCTTATCGAATACGAATTACTATACTCATGTTTTGGGTACGTTGTGACAATTGCTGAAGAAAAAATATCTCATTATGTAGAAAATAAATTAATATTAGTTAATATTAATGAGCTTTCATTGATGATCATATAAAACGATTAAACATAAATAAATGGAATGAAGTTTTTAATTGAGATGCTTATGGACAAAACGAAGTATGAGTTTTAAAAAGAACCGATTTTTATTCAAACAGTAAATGATTATTTTTATGAGCAATTATAAAACACTTACGATTGAATGAGCTATGTTAGAACAACATGATATAACCGTATTCCAAATAAATTCACAGGAAATTGATACTAAAGAACATAGAACTGTTGTATACAGTGTGCTTGAAATAGTTAAATATATATCCAATCAATTAGCTGTTTATATCTATAACAAATATGTCAATGAATTACAAGACATTTTTAATTAAATACATCTAGAGAAAAATGACTTTTTATAAAATAATCTAACTACTGAACGATGTGTAACTGAAATTAGAGCATTAATATTAGATACGGCAAGTGCTTCAATAATGGTAACAATTCGGTAGCTACATAATCGAAGTGAGCCTCGTACTCAAGCTGTCAAAGAATTGACATGTGCCAGCTCATAAATAGTTTTTAATATATATCAAAATAGTCGAGCATGATTTACTGATGGTAAATGATAATATAGGTGTGAATTTCGTTAAAATTTGAGTAATATTTCTAGAAACTATTACTTCAATGAATGGATTCATATCACTTATTAGATACATTTTACAAATCATATACATGACTTTAATCGAGAGAAAAATATATTTATAATGCATAAATGTATTTGTTTTCTACTCATTTTATATTATTTAAAAAGAATAAGCATATAATGATTTGTATTCTCTGTCCGCTATTCATAAATATACGTAAAACTAATTAAAATATTTTATCATTGAAACTTTTGTTTCTCTGTTTATTAGTAAATTATATATTGATATTCTGAATAATATCCAGTTTATAATTTAGCATTATGTCCTCTGTAATTTAGTATAAATCGAATGACTTTGACCTATTCTAGTATATTTAGAAAAAGATCTTTTTTATTTTGCTGCAATCTAATAAAATAAACAATATCAATTTAGCATCAGTAAAAATAGCGTTGTTTGTTAATAATCAAACGCCTTGTTTTTTAATATCCTTATTATTATAGGCAATTACTTATCTTCGCAGTTGCAACTTCTGTCACTCTTTGTCATAGAAACAGAGATGCCTAGACTTCAATGATGAGTAAATGTTTAATTTCAGTTTCTTTTTCTATGTCTGTGACATTTTTCTTTTCAAAAATAAAACAACAAGTATATCAGTAAATTACATCCTATTTTTTTCTTCTTTTTTTTACTCATTTTTTTTTTGTCGAACAGACGGGAGAAAAGAATGCGTAAGAGGCAAAGGTGACGACATTTGACATTACAAGGAATTTTTTTCAAAAACAGGTCTCTGTTAATAAGTAGTCTAGATGTATTCCAAAATATTACTTTTACAGAATCATTAGAAAATGAGTAAACTAAATGTATGGCACGCGCTACTTGGTTTGATTTCCATAACAATCGTCACGGGTCAAAGTGAGTATTTTAAATAAACAAATGTATAATATGCAGTGAAATAACATATATAGATTGTTCAACGTATGATCCATGTGGACGTTATGGTTATTGTGGCGATGATGTTAATGGTAACTGGGAATGTCAATGTAAATTTTGGTGGACTGGCACGCTTTGCAATAAACGTATGTATCAAATAACTAATGTAATATTTTAATAATTTTTAAAATTTATTTTTTCAAGTATTTCTCATCAATTGTAGTACTTATGTCACTATTGAAATAGTAGATAAGAGTGGACTTTATTGTTTTTAATTATCTTCTTGTTTTCACCTCATTCATATAACTTATATATAGTACTGTTGAAGCAGATTTTACAAGGCTTTGGTAAAATCTTACAAATTTCGTTAGCATGGCTGACAAAAAGTTTTGATTTGTGTTCATAGAAACTCATACGGATTCCTAAATTTTATAGTAAAAATAAACAACAGAAATCATATAAAAGTGTTATTTTCAATAATTTTAAAGGTACAATCGATTCTGTCGAGAAATAATAAATTTGTTTAGGTATATACTCAGAAAAATACTTTATAATCTAATTTATTTCTCCTATGTACTGTAACAAAATATTGGTATCAATATGATATTTATCATCTTAATTCAGGAAGTACTTGAATCATCTTTCACGGATTTTGAGCAACAAGAAATGACAATCTTCTGTCTAGTACTAATTCTTCCTTGTGTTAATAATATCTTTTAATAGACTCTTATAAATTATAATTCAGATTCTAATAAATGGATACGATCATTAGTTGTCTTCTGGTTTTATATATCCAATAAAGAGATTTGAGAAAATATTCGTTAATTTTCAAAAATAGAACGATTTAAAATATCTTTCTATTATTGATGTATCTTATTCGGTATTATAAATTTAAATTTTATAATGATTATGATAACGACTTTTTGTATTATTTAATAAACTTTCTTCAAAAGATATTCACCATATGCCAATATATTTTGTAGTAAAGCATAACTCTCTTTTTATTAATTGTGTTCATTCGTAGTTTTTTTTTATTTAAAACAAGTAAAAATAAAGAAGACGGTTCGATAGGTCATAATCATATAATTATCTTGTTTCTATCTTTTGCAAAAGAATATTATTATTTATTTTTAGAATCCAGTAGTGGTATACAAGTTATTGTACTGGGTGTTTTAGTAGGTGTTCTACTTATTATTTTTTATGGACTATCTATTTTTTTTTCAACTCGCAGAAATAAACAAGAACCAACGATAGATAATAAAAGGTAAAATAAAAACTTAAATGTAAAAATATATTCTTTTTGTTTTAATTTTAAGAAATGATCAAAATATTGGATTAAATCCTAATTTGACACATGTAGTGATAGTTAATGTTAAAAAATCAGCTCGTCTTTCGTCTTGTTTTATTGCTATTCTTATGTTAATAGTAACGACAGTAGCATTAGTCACAAAATGGTCACTTGTACAACCAATTCATAATGAATTAGTAAAAAAATATCAAGAACAAGATTTATTATTCTATACAAGAAAGTCATTTTGTCGTTTAATCGACTACGAAGATTTCAATATGTTAACATTTCCCATAGCTTGTCTACTTCTAATAATATTTATCATTTTTTCAAAACGAACTTCATGCATGCGACAGAAATTGAAAGGTTATATTGCACCTGTTATACCAATTGATTTTTATATGCATATAAAAAGAAAATTTGCTGCTGTAGTATTTGCTATCATTGCTGATGAACTTGTGGATATTGTTAGTCAAGTTCTTCTTGGTGAAACATCGAATGATGATGGTTTGAATTCATTGTTTATTTTTAGATTTTGATGTAATCTAAATTTCTTTTTTCAGGTGTCATTGTTGTTTATATATTACGAATAGCAAAAGTATTAGTTATTGGTCTTCGTTATTATCCAGTATTGTCTGCTGTTTATATTGATTCAATTTTATCACTTTTGTGTGCAACTTTCTATGCCTGGCTCGATTTTAGTCTTACCATAGTTGATCAAAGTTTATGTCAAAGTGATTTTTATCCTTCTGATGATAACTTTGATGATACTAATGGAACAGATCTTGAAATATTATTTAATTACTATGGTACAGGTCATAATTTAATACTTATTACAATTCTTAGTGATATTCCTCGATATATATGTTGGTCATATATTGTTATCAAATTACCAATGTTATTAATAACAAAAATTCACAGAACAATAAAACATAAACAAGAAAATCGACCTAATCGTTTACATTTAACAAGAGAAGAAAAGATTCTCCTACATTCATCAGCTCCTCATTCTGTTGAGATGACATACGTACGAAATCTTTTTCGATCAATCAATCAACGTTCAACATCTCGTTCGTTTCTAGCACGTTTAATACCAAAGTTTATCTATCAATGGCGCGATGATTTTCGTTTTTCATCACGAATACTTTGTATTTACTCAACAATATTTCTTGTTTTAGTTTCCATAACAATACAAGCATGCATACTTGTCTTACCATATATGGATATTATGCAACAGTATCTTCAACAACAAGTTGACACATTAACTGGAGTAAGTAGTTTGATCGGAGTACAAAGAGAATTTCCATTGCCAAACTTCGTTCCACCATATGTTATTGCTATATTAGCAGCATTTATTATAACAATAATTCAATTATTAACTTTATTAGCAAATATTCGTCGAAATTTATTGCAAATATTTCGTGGTGATGATTCAGAAATTCCAGTGAGAAGTAAATCTAAATATCTTAGTTATACAACAGGTAATTTTCATTTTGCTGGCTTCTTTATTGGTTATGTTATATGGGGTTATATTTTAACTGCTGTATTTGCTTTTATTGTATGTATATGTATTGATGCATTCATGACTTATGGTAGTGTGATGTTTCTTGAAAAAATTCTTAAAAGTATAATACCAGTATTGTTATTAATTATTTTCAAACAATATCTTAATAAATTATTGGCAAGATATGCTTTTTTACAACATTATGGAGATGTATTAGCAATCAATAATAGAAGAATATTAATGATATTTTTATATTTTAATTTCTTTCTTGATTCATTTCTTGGTTTTATATCATCAATAATACGTATTATTCAAAGTGTTATTGGTGGATGTTTATATATGTCTCGTCTGGATTATTCACCAATGGGTAGAAAACTTGAAACATTCGACTCAGGATTTTCTGCTTATTGTGGTTTTATTCATATTGAAGCTGTACATAGAAATTCCATAATGTTAGTAGTTGTGGGTCATCTATATAGTGCAATGAAAGCTAAACAATATCTAGCTAAATCTTCAACAATAATAGTAAAAAGTAGCAATCCAAGAAACAAAGATTATTCATCAAAAGCAATTCGAAAGTGGCATCTAGCAGTACTTTTATTACGCAATCCACGATTGACATTTTTAAGAAAACATGCTCTACTACTTCTTCAAAATGAAGATAAACAAGTCAAAGCTTTAAATACAGCAACAAGATTATCTTATAGTGAACAGCAACGTCATCGATTTAGTCTTATTTCAGAAAATGACTTAGAACATGCATGGCAAAAAAATATTAATTGAACTATTACTTTTTTCTGACAATCAATATATATATATATATATGTTATAAATTAAAAATAAATAAACATATTTTCTAAAGTTTATCAAGTTTAAAATTATTAAAGATCTATTATATTTTACAATAGAAAAAAAACTGTGCTCTGAAAAAAAATTAACTATGAATTATAACGCTTTCATGAATTCACAAATAATCAAACAAATATGTCATTGTGATAAAGAGCTATCAAGATAAATTGAAAAAATAATTTACTTTCAAAAATACTATTTACAACACTTCCGCTGAAGTTATACTAATATCTTTAAAACAAAATCATGCAAAATAAATTAAATTACAATGTTGTTATATTACTTTTATTTTTATCTAAGAAAAAGACAAGAATTAACTTCGAAAATAGTTCAGGCTTCTATAGCCACTAAAAAATAGTTGCTATACATATTTTATTAACACTTTTAAAAAGATTTCTGAAATTTCAGTTTTATAATCAAGACAAGTTAACTATATATATGTCAGAATAAAAAATATTGAAAAAAATATTCGATTTAGATACTACGAATAGAATACTAATTTGTTTTATGAAAATATCTTAACAAAAACTAAATATTTGAGTTTGCAAATATAGCATTCTATTTTATTCAATAATTTAGTATAAATACGTAACATTTTCAAAAGAAAAGTATTTTTTTTGTTTAATCACAAGTTTTGATCTTCATCCATATTTCTTGAAAAAACACGGCGTGCTTCAATTTAGTAACATAATCTATTCTTATATTTAATGATAATTACTTCTAATTGCGTTGGTGTATAATTATGGTTAAAAAAAGAAAAACTAATCCACTTTTCAAATAAAAAAGTTCTGTATTTAGCATATTTAACTTCTATTTTAGTTATAGTAAATGGAGAGGTTTCATTTGAACATACAATGATGCTAATAAGAATATAGTATGAGTAGTCTAAGAGCAGTTTTTTTTAAACTTTATTCTATAAGATAACATCTAAGGACATATAATGCTTGTGTTTCTCATTAAATACATAGTAAAAATCGTCTATTATTTTTTCATACTAATTAACATAATCTGTTGCATATAATAGAATTTCTTTGAAGCAGCTTGAAAAGTATTACATGTTGGCATGCACAATCGAATATTCATTGATGCACGTACAAAGATGATGATGATGACGACAATAGTTTCAATTAGTAATTTACGCTTACATTCATCTTATTCATATCTTATATCTATAGGAGAAGTCGACTGTCTTAAAAGACAAATCTAAACGGTCGTCTTTATTGTTTTTCATTGACGGCATGCTCTTAACTTTTGTCTCATTATTCAAGTATGAACCCTGTTTATACTGAAATCTAATGAAGCACATAAACTAATTACTTTCTTCTTTCATTCTTACTCTGTTTTTTTTGTCTTGTATAAAGGTTGTTATCTATTACCATCAAATGAAGGATTTCATTTATAGTATTACAGTGAACATGTATATGAATAACGCTAGTTTGTACTAATTAAGCGATTCAGCGAAAATCTATAACGTAGGAGTATATGAAATTTTCAGTTAAAGATCATTTCTTTTTCCATAGTTCTTGTTCACCTAGTACTCTCATGATAATTATCTGAGAACAAATATTTTATAAAAAAAAGTGTCTATTGTTCGCATGTTTTGTTATTCATTTGAGAATTATATATATTAGTTCACTAGATAAGGTAAGACATGTATTATATTCTTCACCTGGCAATAAATATTATTCATCGTAAGAGTTAGGTACTACGACTGTTTCTCTAGTGACTTCAGTTGAAAAAACTAAAACCATCAATGTGAACTATGCATATTGTTTTATATAAAAGAACTTTTTAATTTATGATCTACTATTTTTATTCCCTTAATATATATTCATCAAAAGAGACAACAATAACACTATATGTTTAGAGAAAACTCATAAATCAAATTTCAATCAATAAAATAATAGCATTGACTTGCCAATATATATCGAGTCATTTTTATCGAGAAGCAAAGAGTAAAAAGAAAGGTATTGTAAGTACTATAGTTAAAAATTCCTTGTTATTTTCTTAGAAAAAAAACATGTTTTTCGTAAAAAATTGATAGTAAATCATTATTATTGTGTGCATTTTTGAGTAGGAAAAAATCTTGTTTTTCTTAACTATCTTCAATTAAAATAGAACAATATTATTCCTCAAGCATTTAATTTCCGAGTTAGACAAAATAAAACGACATTAACTACATTTACTTTTTTTTTCTTTTAAATTAACTAGAAATCAGAACTTTAGTGGAACATAAACGGTAAGGCATGTTAGTTTACTATTTTTTGTAAAATAAGAATGTAACCAAACCGATTGACCTAACAAATAGAATAAGTAATGTCAAAAATGTCATATTCACATTGATATTTTCGATAACTGAAAGGCTTTTCTAGACTATTTTTATCATATCTAAGTTCATAAAAGTTGACTGAGAGGAAGAGAATCTACTTAAAATATTAATGATTATTAATAGTAAATATGTGATCGTTTGATCTTCATTTCTCTATTATCTTGTTGCTATTTGCTCTTTTCATTTCTATTAGAGATTAGTATGTTTAACATAAAAGAATCTATCAGTTGTTTTTCAGTAATAATGCTTTAGTTTTTGATTGAATTAGAAAAGAAAATGAGAAAAAAAATATATATACAGAAAAAAATATATATGTGAGAGAAATATGACTATCTCCCTTCTTCTTTTTTTTTTCTTTTGGCTTCTTGCAGATGTAACAGTATGTGTGAAATATTACTTTACTAAGATCACTTTTATACTAATGAGTTTCCTGAACTTATATTATTTGTTATCTTCTTTTGTCGACTACAGATAAACGCTGCATTGAATAGACAAGTATTTATTGTTGTTAGACATTATTGTAGACATATATATTTCTCTCTTTCATTCTTATTTTTCCATTTTTCTTTTTTGTTCTCATTATATATATATATATATATATATATTTATTTTTTACTGTCATTAATAAGAGAACATACATGATAGTGAAACAGGCAATGAGAACTAATCAATGTTAAAGTAGATAGGAAGTGAATACAATATATTTTACATATAAATACAGTTGTCTTTTTTTTCCTTTTCTTCATATATCCCTGTCATTTTGACTATTTGTTTCCTTGGTAAGTTTTTTTTCTTGTAATAACAATGATGATCATTCCAGTTTCCTCACAAAAGTCATCAACAAGCTAATCAATTCTAACTTCAATCTTAGTAATGAGAAAGAACAAGAAGGAGAAGAAGAAAAAGAAAAGAAAAAGATATAGATGACAAATGATCATCGTACACTTTATTAGTTGAATAAATCAAACTAGTCGACAAGAAAGATCTGTTGATTTATATTCCAAATTAACAATTGAGATCAATATTCTATATTGTCTTTATTTATTGTTGTAGGTCATTCTCATCCTTTCTGGTTCGTATCTCCTCTATATTATCATTATATATTTGCTGTGAAAATTTTGTCATTGCAATGAAATCTCAAATGCTCACTCTATTTCTATTGATCATTGGCACCGCTCTCTTTCAACCAGCACATCAAGTAAATCATTAAAAAAATTTAGTTTATTATTCTTTCTATTATTTTGCTTAGTATCGGCTCTCAAAACGTGAACTAACTGAATATGATGTATGTTTATTTAAGCATATTTTACATAGCTTCTTTTTTTATTATAAATAATTCATTTCTATCAACATAGTTAACCAATTTCATTGTCGGTACATGTTCAGCAGATAAAACCGATACGCTTATCCAGAATCTCTGTGAACAAACATTACAGTCGGCACTTATGGGTGTAAGTAATATTAAAGAAGTTTTTTCTAGAGGGTATATATAATGATTAATGATTGTAGTACTAGTAGAAATAGTCAGGAATTAGCCTGGAGCTTTTATATAACAAAATGTTGATTTGACATTAAAATATGTATTTTAAGTTATACTTTATTATACATTTTTTCATATAGACCTTTCCATTTCTGATCTACTATTGCCAGACACTCGGTGCCGAAATGAGATATTGTAATGAAGTTAATCGATATACGACAACTGATCAAACTGCTGGAGCTAAGGTAATATTTTTGTCTGCTACAAAATTAATTCGTTTGTTTATATCTATAAAATAGAGATTTGCTTCTCGTCGACTGGCACGAAGTCTTAATGAAGACAAACAATTGTATAAAACAGGACAAGAGATGGATATTCAAACTGACGTATGCATATTTTATATAAAAAAAATTGAGGAAATCCTGTATGTATATTATCTCTTGTTTTTGTAGCTCGAACAAAAATTGATTATGCAAATGTGTATAATAAAGACAAAAAAGAGTTCAGTTGATATGGATCAATTTTGTAATGAAAAATTACAAGAAGTACAACATGGAGTAGGGATTCATTATAATTATTATAATTATAGATATATTTACTTTTTTTTATCTATTCATTTTCTAGAATTATCCTGAAATTATAAGCCTTTGCAAATCGTATCCAGACTTTGAATATTGTCAACATATTCAATCATATTCATCATCACGTTCGTGGCCATTATCAGAATCATCAGCACCTTCTATTCCGCCTAATATTAATCCTTCACCTGCGCCATTATCAGTATCCGAATCATACGATACGGAATCAATTATTGATCAAGAAAAAAGTCAATAAGCAAAAACCAAGTATTACCGTCATTATCATAATCAACAAATCCGATGTTTAAAAAAATCTTTTGCTTTAATCATTCCCTAAATCAAAAGGCATCATCATCATGTGCGAAAGAAAATTAATAAAGAAGTGGAAGTACAGAAAAACATTAGAAAAAAAATATATATATATATTAATCTAAAAGGCAAATCTTTTCTCCTTTTGCATGTGTCTAGAATTCGTCTCATATTACATTACCATCTACATGTTTGTTTTGTTCGTTTACGTGTATATAACAGACAAAGAAAAATGCAAAAAAAAAACATAAAATCATATTTATATATTGTTAAAATCATTCATTGAGAAAGAGGAATAAAAACAAATTAACGAAAGAGATTAATAAAATGATAATAATCTCATTATTTAGCAATATGATGCTCATAATTTTGATTGAGTCATCCTCCGGTATTCAAGCTTTATGAGATTATAACGAACAGTCATAGAGATTGAATACCAAAGAGACAACTCGACCAATTATTTGAGTAGGAAAAAAAGATATCATGTAAAACTATCACAACTATTTTATAAGTTTAACAGCAAGAATATAACTATGATAATGCTTATATATATATAATATATCCTACTGTAGCTGTTAAAATTATTATGTAGACACATGAAATTGCAAAAAAATTGTATGTTACTGTTAGAAGAAAATGAAAGAGTACAAATGAAATAAGAGAGTAAAGCACAGCGGGTAAAACCGTCAACGTTTAATAAAGGTGAGGAAGCATATTGAAATGTATTTTACATTTGCTCCTACTTCGTTGATGACGTTGTATATACTATATTACCATCAACAATCATCATAACATACAGTCTTAAAAATATGCACCTTTCATTTGTTGTCGATCACAGCAGGTATTCTCTACTATTTTACAGTAGTAGAGTATGAAAAAATATATATACATATATCTGATCCTTCTTATATATATATATATATAAATTATTGTTGACGACTTTTCTCTCTCGCTCTCTCTCTGTCCCTGTCTCTCTCTCTCTTTTTCATTTTACCGATGTGGTTCAAAACGATTATTTTTATTCTAATGTATATTTGTATGGCGAAAGAAAAAGAGGTGGTTTGTTCTCGTTCTTTCGACACAATAGGTCGTCATCATTTTCGTCAACAATACTTTACACATGAAAAGGCCACCATATGATTGTTCCTAAACATTTAATTTAATGCGACAAATGTATAATACATACATTGACATGTATTTAAAAAGAATGAACAAGACAGAATAATAATCGTCTCTCTATGGCTCTTTGATTCGAATGCATTTATTCAATAGAGACATAGAGTCTACAGCGCTTACAAAAGAAAAAAAACACGAAGGTGGAATAGCAAATTCACTTTTGGTGTACACATAAGTAATACTAGCCTGCTTAAAAAAAACGAATAACACAGTTTGCCAACTATTCGAGCAATAACAACCAAAAAGAAGACGAACGAAGAAAAAGAAAACGACGAAAAAGGCTTATAATTTCTAAAGTGCACATGTATTTTAACAGCAAAAAAAAAGAATTTGTGTTGTTATTTGAGCAAATTCACAATATACATAAGAAATAAATATCAATATCCATCAAAAAAAGAAGAAAAAATGACGTTGTATGCTTTGTCTTTGATTACATATATGAAAAGAAAATTGATAAATAAAAAACATGGAAGAAAAAGAAATTCATTCTTTTTTTTCTTCAAACAATATTGAGACAAGAAAATATTGCAAATATAGAAAAAGTTGAAAAAAGAAAAAACATCTGATTTATAATAAAAAACAAAAAATCAACGAAAATTAAAATTTTGACGATGATGTATTGACTGATTTTCTAAATGAAAAAAAAATCAATAACATACAACATAATTTCATTATTTCTTACTGAAGTAGACTTAATTTCTCTTTTTCATTTGATGTTATGGCTGGTTCACATTCAAATGAAGCAAGCATCAAAGCTGAAATTCAATAGATGTATACATATACATATTCAAATATTTATCATACCGTCTTCACTAAATGTTGGAGTTGTTACTATATAATTAATAATCGCATCATCTCGTTTAAATGAACACTAAAATAAAGATATTTCATTTTAATAAAACTTCTAAAGTTATTTATCATTATTAATATGGAATGTTCAATGTGATTTCAACTGATTTTTTCTATTATTAATCTTATCTAATAAAGAATACATCATAGAAAATCTGGAACAATGTCTCTTATATAGATCAAATATTTTTTGTTTATATAAATAGATAATAGTTTTTTCTTTCGATATATAAAATAAATTACTTCATAAAAAAGATTTCAATAGGACCTACATTACTCTGTTTACATTGCATAAATTCTTCTAAAATAAATTTTGCCATCGAATAAAATTTCTATAAAAAAAAAATAAGAAAACAGATAGAACTATTTCTTTTATGTTATTTTCTATGTAGATATACCTGTAAATTAATACCACCTTCGGATGTATAATCTTTACTATGTGTTTTTATATAATAAACATCTTGTAAAATAAGACTAGTAAATGGTATAACTATATTATCTATTTTCCATTCATGTCTTTTCGCTTCATCCATAGCTGTTTCAAGTGCACGACGATAATGAGTAAAATTTTTCGTTGCATTTATATATTGTTCAAGTTCTTCAAATCTATCTCGTGGAATTTTTTCCCACTAAATATATTTCAATTGAGAATAATAATAGAATATATATTTTTGTTTTTTAAATAGTCTATATTTACCGTTTTTCTTAATCGTTTGACTGGCTGCATATTTAAACCACCTAAAATTTTGAAAAGGAAAATTAATTTTAGATTTAAAAGAAATTTTTATTGAATATTTTTAAATGATATTGTTATTGTAATTAATTACAAACAAATATTATACAATTCACAGGGTATATATATATATATGACTTTTTATACTATTGGTTAACATTCATAATTAGAAATATAAATAGATGACTTGAAAAATATATGATACCTTTGAGAGTTACAAATATTATATTCTGTTGATTAATGGTTAGATATTCATAAAACTTTAATAAGGTTATTATGACATATGACATATGCTATGGGATACTTAAGCAAAAACATAAGAAAAATTATACTTTCTTCATCAATGAATATTTCTCTTGATTTTGCCTAAAATGATAGGGTATATTTTATCAATTAAATTGATACAGTCATATTTTTCTTGATAAAAATATGTTTCTCGTAAAATGATTTTTTTTTTAGGTTAAAAAGTTTATAGTTCATTTAAAAAACTAGACATAGAACATCCGTCGTGCTTTTAAAGCTTGCTTTCATGCAGAGTTAATATATAAATTATCTATGTACTAGATCTTTCGTGATTTGAGTATTAAAAGTCTAAGCTTTTTCTTATATCTACTTAATAATCACAATATCGCCTGCAAAACTTCCATTATTCGTAGTCGAATCATGATAATCATGAATGGCAATGTACTCATTAAACTTCTTTAAATTAAAAATATAATATTTCATTGTGAATAACAAAAATATTTTTTTACCGATTATTCCAAACATTGAATTAAAATTATGTAAACGTAAACATTCATGAGCAACATCAATAAAATAATTAATAAGTTGTATTCTTAAACGTTTTTGTGTATGTTTAACAATTTCTGTTGTAACAAAAAACGTCAAGCGATTAGACCATTGTATATAAGTTTCAAAAGTAGTTGTTAATTTTCTATCATGAATAATATCTAAAGATTTCGTATTGGTTGATGTTGTTGTTGTTTGATTATGATGAGTTCTACTGGGATGTGCTCGTGCTTCTTCTGAAGCTGATTTCGCAATAAAATATTGTATTAATTCTTCAGCACCAATTGGTTTTAATCTATCCTATGAATAAAAAATAAAATAAAACAAAACACGACAATATTTTATTAGAATAAATAAATACCAGTTCAATATGAGCTAATTGTTGAGCTAATAATATCGATGTTGGACATTCATTGATTATATCAGTCTTACAAAAGAAAAAAAGTTTAAATTTTATATAAGAAAAAATCTTTACATATAATCCCGTTTGTGTAGGACAATGTGCTGCTTTTTTATCTAATTGTCGAATATATTCTTCATATTTTGCTAATGCTTTTAACTTTGAAAGAAAAAAAAACACATTAGTTTTGAAGTTTTTATGTTAGATTTACTTTTGAACGAAGTTTTTCATCAATATGCTTCGTATTATTTTGAAGAGTTGATGTATATGAATTTATTTTTCGTAAAAGTTCTTCGAATTGTGACATCATTTCTGTATTACGAAAATCATATGGAAATGTTTGAGTCCATTGTGATAAAATAGAAAGAAAATTTTTCATTGTTCGAACACCTCGATCCTACAGGAGAAAATTCAAATTACAAGAAAATGAAGAGAAATATTTTCTACATACATAAGTTAAATTTGTTATTGAATTTATTGTTAAATGAGCTAATTTATTTAATAATAAACTCGGTCGCATATGTATTCTTGAACACATAAGCAGTGGATAAATAAATGAATCCTTGAAAAAAAAAGTAATATTTCATTGAATAAGACTTTATAGGAATTATTTACAAACCTTTGGTTTATAAATATCACTAGGCACTAATCGTTGAATAAGTGTATCCATTGTATAATTAGGATAATCAAGTGGTGGATCATTATTATCACTTAATGGTTTCACTAGAGAAGCAGTATGATCAGCAATTGGTTTATGCATTGAAGGCTATGAAAGGAAAAAACAGAATTTTTCTATCGATAGATGTTATCTTATCTTATCTACCTGATGTTTTACGATGGGTTGAAATGAATTATTTGTTGATACGATGATGGAATTTGGTTCTATTTGAAGATTTATTGTTAAAGGTAATGTTTCTTTTGATTGTTTAATTTTTAGTGAAGAAGCAGATGGTTTCGGCTGTGGATATATAGTAGTATTCGAACGAGTTTGTGCATGAATACGATCATAGTATGCTGTTGATGGTGAAATATCATTATAAATATTATGTTTGTCAAAATATGATTGTCGTCGTCGTTGTTGTTGTTGAAGATTGATCAAATTTACATGTCGTTGATTGACTGTATCTGCTTGTTTTTTATTTTGTAAATGAATATCTTCATGGGTGGTACATGGTGAATAAGAATGACGTAGATAATTATTTGTTGTATGTTGTGTAAATGTAGATGAGTAGTTATTGCGATATACGGGAGCATTCTCAGTATAGTATTCAATAGACGGGTCATAACTATATAGACCACCATTCATGATAAACTATGAGAAAAAAACAGAAAAAAAGAAAGAGATAAGATTTTATTTTGTTGGAAATTTATGTTGTTGCTCATTTCTTTAGATAAAAAACAAAGTTCATACAAAGAAAAAAGAGAAAAAAAAATGAAAAACACTCATTTGATTCACGTATTATTGTTTTTTTTTCTGTTATATAAAAAATACATATACAAAAAGAGACATTATGTTAATAAAAAAAAAGATTGGACGGTTTCGTTATTGTGTATTGATGAAAAGCAAACAAAAAGAAAATATATATGTGTCAGTAATGTTTTGAGCGTTTGTCACTGCCGCTTGATGATCTGATATCTCGTCCTCCTGTTCCTCCACCACTTCCTCCTCCTCCTGTACTCGTTCCACCACTTGTTTCTTCTGACCTGTCTGAAGGTACATCATCGATAATATATGATTGTTGTTCAATTGATGAACGATGTGAATTCTTTTTATTCATCATATCATTACTATTGTTTAGTGGTGCAAGTTTCTTTTTATAAAGATGAGTTTTTGATGGTAATATTGATGTTTGCTTCATATTATTAGTAACATCTTCTAAAGTTTTTGGTGATATGGAAGATAATTCATCGGTATAAGATGACGTTGATTTTGCACTACTAATCGGCTTAAGACGACCACTTGGTGGTCGCATATTATTTGGTGGTAAGGATGGATTGGAAAGATATGTATCAGCTTGTTGTTTTGTTCGGAAAAGTTTTTGGCCAGCAACTGTTAAATCAAGTGTAGGAATGGATTCATTTGAACTTGATTTCGAACCAGATTTAAGTCGATTAGTTGCTGATTGATTGCCACTACCTCCTGATCCAAGACGACTCGATGATGGATATGGAAATTCTTTATTATTTGCTGAACGATTTCGTTGTTTTGATCTTGCAGAGGATAATGGTTGATGTTGTTGTTGTTGTTGTTGCTGTTGTTGTTCTTCAAGAAAACGATAGTCATCATATATTGAATGTCGACTGGTATGTTTAGCTTGTTTATGTGGTCGATGACTATTAACATTTGGTTGCTGTTGGTGTTGTTGTTGTTGTTGTAATAATCGATCATCACCAATACGTGATGAAAGACGAGAACTAGGCCTAGAGAATCTTGGTGATGTCGGTCGACCATCGTCATCTTCAAAATCGCTATGTCCAGCATAGTCTTCAAAACCATTTGGTTCATCACCATCTGAATGAGCAGATGTAATAACAACATGATGACGACGATCATGCTTTCGTTGTGATTTTGATGTATTAATAAATGAACTATTTGGTGTAGTCGAACTTTTTCGAGGTTTAATAGGAGGAGCCATAGCGGAACTACTTGCTACTGATGATGGTGGTCGAAAACGTTGCCGATTCATTTCAATATTATCTTCATCATCATTTTCATCAGGTCGATTAGATACGATGTTTGAATTATTCGGATGATTTGTTGTACGATAAGATGGTTCAGTTGATAGAGTAGGTGATGAACGAGGTGGTTGTGGTAATGCTTCTGTGAGAGAACGACGATTATTATGTCGAATAAATTTAGCGTGTCCATTAACTGGTGGTGTTGGTGCTACATCAAGTTCATTTGTTTTCATGTGACTATTACTACTAAAATTACGTGTTGTCAATGATTGACTATCAAAATTATTAGGATATTTATCACGTAGATAAACTTCAAAAACACTTCGACAAAAATAGAGGCCACGATTTTGTGCATAATCAAATGCTGATATACCATGAATATCTACATATATAAATAGGATAAATGAATATAAGAAAAATATAATTTTTATACCTTTAAGATGTGGATCAGCACCATGATCTAATAATTCTTTTAATACACGTGCATGACCATTTTTAGTTGCTAAATGAAGTGCTGTTTGACGATATTTATCACCATCATGTATACGAGACGAATCATTAAGTTGTTCACTCATTTCAAAAATAAGTCGACAAGCAGGAACTGAACCTTGTTCAGCAGCAACATGTAAACATGTTCGCCCGTCACTATCACGTAATTGCATTGTCTCAGATGATAATAATGATTTTAAACATCGTAATGGTTCAGTTTTACGTACACTATGATGAATCCATGTACGACCATCGTCATCTTTTTCGATAGTATTATTCATACATCGTGATAATTCCTAAATAAAGATATTTATTTAAAGAAAAATCTTTAATAGAGAAAAAAAACAAAATCGAACTTGAAAATGTTCATAACGATCAAGATGACATGCCCACATAGCTGAAGTCATACCATCAGCATCTCTTAAATGTATATCAGCATTGTATTCAATTAATATCTTTAAACAATCTGTATTTTCAGCTAAAACTGCCCAATGTAATGGTGACCGTAAATGTACATCTTGTTTAGTAACATCAGCATTATTTTCTAATAAAAGTCGTACGATGTCAATATTACATTGTTGTGTATCATCACCATAACATGCACGATGTAAACATGTTGAACCATCATTAGCTTGAATATTAATATTTGCTGATGGGTTACATTCAAGTAATAAATAACGTAGAATATTGATTTGTTGATATTGTACTGCATAAGTTAATAAATCACGTCCAAATGAATCAACACGATCAATTAACTCAGGTTCAGAATTTAATAATTCTTTAACATAACGCAGATCACCTTCACGTACAGCAACAATAATTGGTGATAAATTAACAAAATTATTTAATGAATGTTTTGGTATTGTTTGTTTAACTTTATTTGATTCAACATCTATCCACGGCCATTCAAATTTATCGGGTGCTTCACGGAAGGGTGTTAATGGACTTAAACCACGTTCTATAGTCCATTGTAATGGTTTTTGTTCTTTATCACGTTTTTGTAATATTAAATAATATTGTTGAAGGAAATGAAGACCATGTAATAGTGTATCACGTAAACGTGAACTTGTTTCTTCATCAGGTAGTTTAAGTAAAAATTCGAGTATAATTGATGATGTCTTTTGAAAATCTTTACGTTTTATCGCCATTATATAAATACATATGAAAATTTATTTTCTATACAATACCTACATCTGAAACATAAACATACATACTTATCAACGAAGAAACAAATAGCAACCTGAGCAAACAATCACATTGATGATTAGAAAAAAAAGGAGAGTATCGAAAAAAGAAAAAAAAAGAATAAAGTTGAACTATAAATTTCTGATTCGTATCATTTATATTTATATTTTACTTTTTCAATCAAGTAAAAGAGTGAACTATACTTGGAATTATAACGAAATAAAATTTCTTTTCTTCTTTTGATTTACATGTCACCTGACTGTAGAGTATGTAGAATGTAAGCATAAACTTCATATGTATTCTATTCTTTGATGTCATCGTCAAGTATATAAAATATATGAGAAGAGTAACACTTATTTTAATGTGGTATATGCGTATGAGTGTTGGTATTTTAAAGATGTATTAAGGATATATATTCTGATTAAAAACAAAAGACGAAAGACAGAATGAAAACGAGATATGCACACAAACGATCATTGAGATTTTAAAGTTAATCGACAGAACATTGAGATGAGGTAGAACGTGCATACCGACAGCCGTGGTTGGCATGTGAGCAGAACGAGAGAAAAACAACAAAGTTGAAATACGAAACTTTTTTTTTTCTTTTTTTTTCTCTTCTGTCTCATTTTTTCACACACACTCATTTGAGTGTTGTCACAATACAGGAGGCCGCCCTACTTTACAATTTACAACCTGCTGATTCAATACGGTCGAATGAAATATATAGAGAAAAAGAAGAAGTTGAAGAAGAAAGAGAAGAAAAAAACTCGAGAACAATATAATACACTGCCCAATTCCCTGTTTGATGGAAAAAAAGCCATGATGAAAATATTTATTCATATAATCAAAAGAAGAAAAAAAATTGACAAATAAATTTAAAAATAAGATTTTTTTTGCGCATATCATAATTATTGAGAGTTGTTTGTTTACCTATGACACTAGCTAATGCAAAAATTCTAATGTAACATCAATCTATTAATAAAAAAAAAATATTTTTTTAATAAAAGCTGAATTAGATTTTCAAGGTATTAATATTTTGCCTGTTGAATGATTCTGATTATGTAAGTAGAGATTTTTTTCAAGAAACTAATTCTACTACATCGATATTTTATCATAGATTTCATTTCAAAATATTCTACGTTTGTCTTTTATTCATTAAAATTTTACGATATCTAAATGTTCATTCATTTACAAATTACTCACATGAGAAGTTTTGTTTTTTGTTCCCAGTATTTTCTTTTTAAAATTATTTAATAACATTAAAAAAAACATAATTGTGTATCTGTCAAATATGAATTATTCACTACAGAGAATGACAGTTTCTAGTTGAATGGTGTGCATCAAAAGAATCAAAATTTTCTTTTAAAGAATATTTAATATCTATGAACTGACAGGAAAGAATCTGACAACTACCAGTGCTAAGTTTACTGCAGAGAGAAAAAAAATCGGCTTTATTCATCAAAAAGATTATATTATTATATAACAAATTTTTTTTTCCGTGATAGTTAAACTAGTAAATGAAAGATGTTACATTATCCTATATATCCTAGACAAACTTCTCAACTATTGAATATATTATTGTTAAATTTCATATTTTACAACGAAACAAAGCAAGAAGATCATTTTATTCTTCATAAGTGTCGTATTTTTAAAAATTCATTACTATAAATAAAATCTTACTCATGATGAAATGTAAACTATATTCGGATGTCTCATAATACTTATCGGTAGCTTTTCTTTTATATATATATGATATACAATGGAAATTTAATAATTCATAGAAAAAAACTAATAATTATTTAGATTTAATTAATTATCTCAAATATATCAAAACTTGAAAATACATTGAAGTGTCACTATTTCTCTCTATAGCTTTCATAATGTTATATGAAACCACAAATATATATATATCAATTAAAGATATGACATTCATTTACATACGTCAATTTATTAATTAATATTCTATTGAATACTGACGATGTCGATAAGTAATGTATCACTAGACTTAATCTTTATAGTATAAAATAATACTCAAATCATATATCGACTTCGATTGACCTTGAAAATGTTGTTAAAACTTCCGTAACTATTATTCTAAAAGAAATGCAATGAAATGATTCTAATAAAATATAAAAAATTCTTTTGGAAATAAAATTAAGAAAAACTATTAATCATATGTCGCGTCTTACATATAGATAAATATCTGGAAATCAATTATATTAAATATTAAATTACATTTAAAAATAGATGTGAAATATGTTTTGAGTTTTATAAGCTAATAGAACTAACTTTAGTTTATTTTATATAATATTTTAGTAACATAATTTAAATTTAACAACAAAATCTTTTAAATTTTTAATCAAAAATATAAATATGTCAATTTATAGATTTTATTCAAATTTAAAAATGAATTTCTGATGATTCACTAACGACAACAAACGACCTCTAGACGAATTGATGTGATAAAATTCAATGAGAAATCTTAATAAAAAAAGGTGTTCATAAGACAATCGAAAATAAGAATGGTTTATGTGTATATAGAGAAACATTTATTTGGATAATAAGAGATATACGAATTTGATAAACTTTTGTCTTACAAAAAATTTAGACAAGAAGAATTGTCAATATTAAGCTGTGAATAACTTCATCATCCAACTCCATTTGTTGAAAGAAAAAAAGATCAATAAAATGACAGTCCAAATAATAGTTATCATCGTAATAGTTTTAAATTATAATTCCCAATACCATGCGAGTGCCATAGTCAGTGCAATTGTTTTCATACTAATTGTAAAAATGAACAGCATTTGACATATTTTAATAATTTCTAAATTATTGAAATAGATAAATATAAAAAAAAGGATTGATATTCTTTCACTTACTTGTTGTATGCTGTTGTTATTCATTCAATTGAGCATTTACTATATTATGTAGATTTTGACTCTAAAATAAATAGAAAAAAAGTGTCGTTCGTGTTCTAGTCTTCTTAAACTAGGCCCAAGTTCACTTAGAAAATTGCGTGTATCTTGTTGTATTCGTTTGAATCTACCAAGTTCGTCTTCTAATTTTTTTAATGTTGTTTTGTTTACCATACAGACAAAAAACGATCCAGGTCGAATAATGCGGTCTGAAAATGGATGTGAGTCTGGTTCTGAGTATTAAGTGAATACAGTATCCACACCCACCCTCAAATCTACTTAACAACTATGGCATTTGTTTAATTCACAAAAATTTATTAAGATATATGTAAAATTACATTATTCCTATTCAATTAGAAACAAAAAATAGAACTACACATATATATGATTGTAGAACGTCAAAAATTTTTTAATATATTTAAATAAAGTATTTCTTTTGTTGTTGTTGTACAATCATATTTTAATGATCATTCATAATTGTATTTGTTGTAGTTGAAGATTTTGGAATAATCTTTTCCATCATCTAATTCCTTTTAATAAAACAATTTATTTTAATTTTAATATAATTCTCATGCCTTACTTAATTATTTTAATTCAATTTTTTTAAATAGCTAGTAAATATGAGCCATATTATAATAATTATCCACAATGTAGTAAGACCATATATTATTGTTTTCAACTTAACTTCGAAAAACGATACAAGTATCATCATAATAGAAAACATCATAACAGTTGTAATTAAATTTGAGGGCAAGTTAATAAATCCTAAATTATTAAAATAGATAATTATAAAAAAAAGATTGATGTTCTTTCACCTACTTGTTGTATGTAGTTGCTGGTGTGGATCAACTTCCACGCCATTTTCGTGTTGCTGTAGGTTCAATCCAGCGGCAACATCAAGTAAGTTTCGACTCTAAAATAAATAGAAAAAAATATCGTTCGTGTTCTAGTCTTCTTAAACGAGTTTCAAATTCATTTACAAAACTGCGTGTACCTTGTTGCACTCGTTTGAATCCGCCAAGTTCAACTTCTAATCTTTTTAATATTGTTTTGTTTCCCATACAGATAAAAAACGCTCCAGGTCGAATAATGCGGCTCGAAAATGGATGTGGGTCTGGTTCTGAGTGTTAAGTAAATACAATATCTGCACCCACGCCCACCACACCCACCCTCAATGACCATGACTGAAACAACCTTTAGTGAGAAAATCTAAGCCATTAAATACGTGATCATTAGTATTGTGACTAATGTTGTAAATGAATCAATAGATCAATTCTAAAATAAATGGTAAAAAGTATCGACCGTGTTCTATTCTTCTGAAACTAGTTTCGAATTAAGATACATAGTTGCATGTATCTTTTGTGATGCGTCGCGACGTACTAAATTCTGCTTGAATTTGTTTTATTATTGATTTTTCTTGATTTTCCATAATGACTTTTAACTAGAAAAAAAATATGCAGTTTATTAAAATGTCTTACCTTTTATAGCTATAGTATGTATCATGCGCTCTTTGTCTTTCTATATAATATCGGATATTATCGACGAATACGTTTTGTTCATTCACTTCTTTTCAGACAAACAAACGTATCTAAACATATATGCATGTCATCATACTGACTGATATAATATGATTACGATACACACGATGATAGAACTAAAAGATCAGTTAATCTATTATTAAAACGAATAGATCAAGGGTGTGGATACTGTATTCAGCTAGCACTCAAATCCATACCTACCCTTTCTCTGTAGGTTTTTAACTGTTTTCGAAGATAAATGAATGTAGAAAATTAAAACATGTGAAGTTTTCTGAAATGAAAATTGACAAAATGTTGGTCTTTGTTATGTAATATTTGTTTTATTCTGTTTCTTGTTATTGGATAATTACTATTACATAATTCATTTCGTTCGTTATTTGGTTTTATTTGTCGTATTAACACGTTTTTTGTTGGATAAATAGCAAAATTTGATGAATGCGTATTATCCTTCTGTGAATTATTATCATTGATTAAATCGTTACATTGACTATTCAATAATGTAGCATTCGTATTATTTACGGAGTCATTATTATTGATGAATTCATTAAAATCATATTTTTGTTTATCTGTAATTACACTTTGTTTTACTTTACCTTTTTCCTCATTGTGTTGATACTTATTATTTATTGATTATGGGTGAGGGTGTGGGTATAAGCGTGGATGCTGTATTTACTCAACACCCAGATCTAGACCCAGACGCACACCCTCAAGAAAATTTTTTATCCAATTAAATTTTTGTCTATAAATATATTCAATGTTTATGATTTTCCTAAGCGATGGTTTTCTTGAATAAACTCAATCGTATTGTATTAAGTCACTTGGATACAATATTTTACAAGAACTTCACCATTCACATAAACAACGAATCTTACTATAAATAAAACTCTCGATAAGTATCGAAGATCTTTAATAAAAAACTTATGAAGTATAAGGAAAAATATTTATTTATCTATTGTAATTAAATAAGACAAAAAAACTAAATTTTTTTTTAAAAAATGAAAAGGCATTTGAACATTGAACACAAATCTATGAATGACTACAAGATTATAGTAAAATACATAATGGTTGAATGTTTTTTTTGAAATACACTTCATTATGCGTTAAATCCATGTCAGTCGAAACTAACAGAAAGTAAACTGTCGCTAATTTGATCATTATTAAATTTTATTTCTTTTCTTCAGTTTTTGGTGGTAATTTAACTTCATGATTTTCATTGAGTGGTTTACCATCAAAAAAGTCAAGTAAACTTTGTATGGTTGATTCCGCAATATTTTTCAATGCTTCTTCAGTAAGAAATGCTTGATGAGATGTAACAATTGTATTTGGCATGGATATTAAACGTGCTAATGTATCATCGTCCATTACCTAATAGAACATAAATGATTTTTATCAAATGTCATAAAAAGTATATGTATATATATATATATCATACTTGTTGACTAAAATCATTAAAGAAATATTTTTTTTCATTTTCATATACATCAAGTGCAGCTCCTCGTAATTTTCCTTTTTTAAGGCACTCAACAAGAGCATTCGCATCAACTAAACCTCCACGACTTGTATTAATTAACATTGCACCATGTTTCATTTTATCTAATGCTTCTTTATTAATAATATGATAAGTTGATTCAAGTAATGGTGCGTAGAGTGAAACTAAAAGAAAAATAATATTTAGAAAAAAAATTCAATATTAAAATATATATTTATTTTTAATTACCAACATCACTTTCTCGAAGTAATTCATCCATTGTTGTATATAAAAAACCTTTTTCTTTTGCTACTTTTTCATTAGGATAAACATCATAAGCTAATACTTTACAACCAAAACCCAAAAATATATTAATAGCACACATTCCAATACCACCTGTTCCAATAATTCCAACAGTTTTACCAAAAAGATCTATACCAACTAAACCATCCAAATTAAAATTATGTTGTTTTGTTCGAAAAAAGGCATGATGCATATTACGATTAAGTGATAATAAAAGAGCAACTGAATGTTCAGCAACAGCATAAGGCGAATATCGTGGTACACGACAAACTTTGATATCATATTTTTCAGCTGTTTCTAAATGAACATTATTAAATCCTGCACTTCTTAAAGCAATAATTTTGATTGTATTGCATTTTTTATGTAATTCTTCTATAACATTTTCACTAACAACATCATTGACAAATACACAAATAGCATCATAGTCTTTTGCTTCTTCAACTGTTTCTTCACTTAATTTACTTTCGAGAAATGTAAAACGAAGTTTATCTTGACCATTTAAATTTTTTAAGGCTGATTTAAATGTTTTTTCATCATATGATTTTGAATCAAAGAAAATAACTTTTCGTTGTGTCATTTAGTTCGTCTAAAACAATGTATAAAAATAACAGAATATTAATATAATGATTTTATTTTACTTACAATTGAACTATGTTACGTAGATGTGATTTTTTCTTGTTGAATTCTATGTGTTGATGACGCACAGTACCTTCTCTCTTTTTCTTTCTTCTGGAGAAAATATAGCCTAGTTGTAGTAACTATGTGAAAGAAATGGGCGACGACGAAAATGTTGCCACCATGTATAAAAACAGAAGAAAGAGGATGGTGAAAAAAAATGTTGTTCTGGCCGAGAGAAAAAAGAGAAAAAAATGTACTTGAGGGGCACATGAAGGAAGAACGATGCCTTTCATAACGATAATCCAAGTACAGACAAAGATTTCGATGTTGGGTACATTGACATGTTCGTTATTAATAGATCTAGTTTTAAACAACAACAGTATTTTCTTCTATATAAGAAAATTCTGGTAATAACATTCTCCAAAAAAATACAGATATTTTCTTTATTATACTGAACATTTCTCCGGATAAAATAGGATTTATTATCTCTGACTTTTAAAGGAAAAATTAATAATTATTTGTGTGCACGATACTTTCATATGATCATCTACATAGTCAAAAAAGAAATAGAAAATGGTATAATATAATTAAAGTAATACAAAGTTCTTTTGATATCAATCTCTATCTTTCATCACCACAAACAATTCAATTATCTTTATTATTAACAATTGTTTTTAACAAGTATTATTCTAATCGATAAGTTGACAAAATAAAACCATAGAAATCATTAGTTTATCAAAAATTCTATAATGAAATTAAACGTTTATTTATCATAAATTTTCTTGTCGAAGCAGACAAATAAATAGCAATCAAAAGTATTACAGATAATCATTCAGATTTTGACAAATAAGATCATGTGAAAAATCAATATTCAAATTAACTTTCACACTTCTGTTTTTTTCTTTCTGGAAAATATAATATTTTATTATTAAATTTTTTTAAACTATAAACATCTGTTTAAAAGATATTTACATTACGAAAAAATACAGGATAAACAGAAAAGTTATTTTTTGTTTTATTAAATACATTACTAACTATATAATAATTCTATATTATTATTTATAAATATAATTGGTTTGAGATTTATAATGAAAAAATATCCTTAATTAAACTATCATTCAACTTTTGATGTATTCGTTTGTGATCCATTGAAGAAATCAAGTAAACTTTGAACAATTGACTCTGCAATATTTTTCAATGCTTCTTCAGTAAGAAATGCTTGATGAGATGTAACAATTGTATTTGGCATTGATATTAAACGTGCTAATGTATCATCTTCCATTACCTAATACAAATAAAAATGATGTTTTCAAAAAGTTTATAGGTAAATATTAAAGTGCTTCATACTCGTTGACTAAAATCATTATAAAAATATTTATCTTCAAATTCATATACATCAAGTGCAGCTCCTCGTAATTTTCCTGCTTTAAGACAATTAACAAGGGCATTAGCATCAACTAATGGACCACGACTTGTATTAATTAACATTGCACCATGTTTCATTTTATCTAATGCTTCTTTATTAATCAAATGATAGGTTGATTCATGCATGGGTGCATGTAGTGAGACTAAAGATTTAAAATTTATTTAACATATAATGAAAGTTAATATATCTTTTCTTACCAATATCACTTTCTCGAAGTAATTCATCCATTGAAACATATTGAAATCCTTGTTCTTTAGCAATTGTATCATCAGGTTTAATATCATAAGCTAATACTTTACAGCCAAAACCTAAAAAGATCTTAACTGCACATAGTCCAACACTGCCTATTCCAATAATTCCAACAGTTTTACCAAAAAGATCTATACCAACTAAACCATCCAAAGTAAAATTGTGTAATTTTGTTCGAAAGTAAGCACGATGCATATTACGATTGAGTGATAATAAAAGAGCAAGCGAATGTTCAGCAACAGCATGTGGTGAATAACTTGGTACACGACATACTTGAAGACCATATTGTTTTACTATATTAACAGACGAGCCACTATAACCAGCACTTCGTAAAGCAATTATTTTAACTGTTTCACAAAGTTTATGTATTTTATCCATGACATTTGAATTACGAGCATCACTATTAACTAAACATAATCCATCATAACCTTGAGCTTCAATAATAGTTTCTTCATTTAATTTACTTTCAAGAAATGTAAAATGAAGTTTATCTTGAGCATTTAAAGTTTTTAAAGCTGATTTAAATGTTTTTTCATCATAAGATTTTGAATCAAAGAAAAGAATTTTACGTTGAGTCATTTGTTTTCTGAATAATGATAGAAACAAAGATTTATGAGAGAATGCTACCGAATATAATCGAAACTTACATTGGATAAAACTGAAACAAACCGAGAATGTTATTATCGTCGCTAGTTGTTCTGTGCTAAAAAAATAAGATAGTAGATTCTTTTACTTTTCTATTGGAGAAATAGAAACAAGTTGTGGTAACTATGTGTGGAATATATGATCAACAGCGAGAGTATTATTCCAACGGGTAAGACAGAAGAGAACGAGCAAAAGTTGTAAAGAGAAAATGATTCACATGGCAGAAGAAAAAGCAAAAATACAATCAAAAAATCAATGAAAGAACTAATAAAACTATATTTTTCTACAGCCATGATCTTGGCGTCGAGCAAAAGAAAGAGAAAAAAAACCTACTTGAGAAATAGAATGTACGTCTCGTGTATGAATCAGACGCCCCAAGTCTGGGTACACATGAACCTTTGCAATGTTTATTTCTGTCAGATAAATATATTGACGTCAATGTAAACCATCTACTATTCATTATAATTAGTCAAGGACATGTACATAGAATTAGTTTGTTTTACATTATAAAAAAAAGCTTAACTATGAAGATTTATTAGTTATAATTAATTATATTTTTTATGTTTAAATGTAATGCTTCTATTTAATATTATCTATATTAATACATTAGTTGTTTCGTTTAAGATGAGAAATATTATTTTATAAGAAGTTCGTTTTATTTGTGTTAATGCATACAATTAGACGAAAGCCCAAAATCATTCAAACAAAATAGTAACAAACACAAAATATAAGAAATAAATAGATTAAGAAAATAAAGGCATTGAGTAATAAGTTAAATTTTTTAGGAAGAAAAAGATTATTATAAAATATATGATTAAAAATAAGATCTAAGTTTGATTTGAAATTGAAATACATTTATTTGAAGAAGAAAAAAGAAACTCATCACAAGACGAGATGATTATCGGAAGAAAACGAGTTTTATTATTTTATCAATAAAATATCACATCAATTAATCTTTTCTATTTATGAATATTGAGTATGTCGAAGTGCTGGTGTTACAGTACTGGGTCCTATTGATCGAAATCTATTAAAAAATAAACATAATGAAATTTATTCGTATATCTATTGTTAAATTTACCGTTTTTGTTTTTGACCAATACATTTCGGTGAATCGACTGGTATTTGACGATTAGGAATTGTATTAAATCGACCAGACATAACTGTAATTGGTCGAGAACGAACACAATAATTTTCACTTTGAATTTCAAGCCAAACAATATTTTTGCCATTGTTTAAACCATTAATTGTTCCTTGATGTGTACCCGCATCATATTCACCATGACAACGTACAGCATGTGTTAAAGCATTTTCCGAATATAACTATCAAATAAAAAGAATATAATCTTTAGTATATAGAAACAAAAGAACACTATTCTAATAAATATTTCTATTGAAATATCTGTTGATTTTCTCAAAAGTTGATCTCATTTTTCTATATGTTGTAATCTTTTCATACTTTATATCCAATAATTTTTTCCATTTCATCTTCTAGTTGTGGATGTTCCCAAGCCACTGTAATAGTTCCTGTTTGTCCATCATCGATACGTTTAAATGAACCTGGTTTAATTCCTGGCCATGCAAATTGTACAGCACGTGACATTGGACTAAGAATATTTTTGTCATTAGTTAATGTTTGTACATGTACTGTATAAGTATCACATGGTATGCCATTTGTTAATGTATATGTTAATTGTTCACGTGAAAGAATTGCTGCTAAACGATTATTGACATAAATTTTATAACCCTCAACTGTAACGCCACCATAACTTGGTGCAGGACGCCATTCAAGTTTAACATGACTGTTTGTACGTTCGCTGAATAAAAAAGTTTTTTTATTTGATATGTTTCTTAATCACTTTTAAAAAAAGAATTATTACCTAATAGCAACAATTGGTGCATTTGGTGGTGCATTCATTTGAACAGTACTCTTATCTGATGTATATAAAACTCCACCATTTTTATCAACAGCCATAACTATAATTCCATAAGTAAAACCTGGTCGTAGACCACGTAAAACCTAAATAAAAAAAGAATTTTTCATTTTTATCAATATTTATTTTCAACTTACAGCATGTCGATTTCGTGTTGATACTTTCATTGCTTGTATATCTCCATTATTTAAACATGTATAATGTATATAATAAGCACGTATTGTTGGTGTGTGTAAAAATGATGTCCAGTCAAGATGAAGTTTATCTTCATTAACTGGTTCAATTTGTAATGGTATTATACGTGCTATATTACTATCAAATGATGTTGGACCTCCATCATCATTATTATAATATACTGTTGGAACAAGATCGGTTGTTGGTGTTGTTATAACAGATAATGTTTGAGACATAGCTGAATGAGGACGTTGAGAATTATTTGTTACAGCACATACATTAACCTGATATGTACGATTAATATGTGAAGCAATTTCAAAGCGTCGTAAATTAACTGCCATCATATCACCTGATTTTTTACCAGCAATAAATAATTGATAACCAATAACAGGTATTCCATATGATTTTGGTTCTGACCATTCAACAGTAAAACTTGTATTAGATGTTTTAACAAGCCATAGTTTTGGCGCATCGGGTGCACCTGGTACTGGTATTGCTAATGGTATATATTCTTGTCTTTTACCATCATTAGTAACAATAATAATATTAATAACATAATAATGTTTTTCATCAGCTGATTCTAAAGAAAATATATATATATTAAATTTATTATTGATCGAAATAAAAACTTGAACGAACCTATAGTACACGATGTTTCATTACTAGGTACTATTTTTTCTTGAATACGTAAATCTTTTGATGAACGCCATTGAATAATAAAATGTGAAATTTTTTCTGGATCTGATACTTCCCATGTAACATTTATTTTTCCTAATGATGTAACTTCATTTCGTCGATTGTTTATAATTTCATTTGAATCATTATAATTAAATTCAAAATCAGCTTGAAATGAATCAAGAAGATCTAAATATAAATTATAAGAAAAACAATCAATTTGTTTTTCAAGAAATTTTACCTTCATTTTTTAACATTTGTATAGATAATATTTCTGATGGTGTTTCATCTGGTTTTCTAGCATTTTCTTTATCATCATTCGTCTTTAAAAATAAATAAAAGAATTTTTTTTAAATTTTAATAAGATATTTGTTGTTTAGTTTACCGTATTATCCATATATTCATTTTGAACCATAGTTTGTGCTATTAATTGAACGTTATATTTTTCACCTAATTTACAATCAGTCAATGTACATCGACATTGATCTTTATCTATTGTATTATGTTTAAGCTTATTAATATCAATTCTATATCCAACTAATTGACAATGTACTTTAAGTTGTTCATTATTTTTTTCTGGATGATCAATTGTATCAAACGTATTTGGTTTATTCCATGCTAAATCAACGGTTTCTTTTGTATAACCAGTTAAATAAATTTCTGGTCGTTCACATGTTGGTGGTGTATGAAAACGTACTGATGCTGATTTATTTGTTGTTAAAGAAATTTCTTTTCGACTAGTTTCATCATCACTTTCTTCGAGATTGATTTTCACACTAAAAATTGAATCAAGTGAGATTTTATATAAACCCGATGGCAGTGGTCCAGGTATTTCTGCCTTTGTAATATTTCGATCAAGTTCTAAATTATGTTCTTCACCACCACGTTCTAATTGCCAACGAAGTATTTGACGATTAAGTTCTGTTGAACCATAAGCTTTACCTAAAATCCATTCAAGTTTTATTGATTCAATAGTTGCTTGACGAATTTTTATTTCATTTGATGGTTCACAACCACTTGTTTGAAAAGGTATACTTTTATTGGGTAACCATTCTGATTGTTTTAATTTTTTAGGTAATTGTGAAGTATCACGACAACGATTTTCATTTAAATATTCTTCTGTTATACCATATATAGTTACATTATATTCTGTACGTTCAATTAAATTTGTTAGAATAAATTCAGTTGAATCTGGTGTTATGTCCATTGACGTTTCTCTTGCTTTTGTTTCAGAAGAAACTGGTTCACATTGAACACGTAATATTTTTATTTCAGCATTATGTTCAATAAATGGATCAAAACCAATACGAACACCAGTATTTGTACAAGCTATAATATGAAGATTCGATGGTGGATCAGGTGGTGCACCAGTTACGAATGTTAACTCTTGTGATACTGATGTAACAGTATATGAATCTGGAAAAGTATAAAAAAGAATGAAATGATTTTATTTGTAAAGAAAAGAAAATACTAGAATAGAATACCTTTTGTTGTTGGATGCTGTCGTTTTTTGCATGCTTCTAATTGAAGTTCATAAGTTGTATTAGGTTGAAGATCTTTCAGTCGTACACTAGTTTGGTCGTCTATAAAGAAAAACAAACAAAAGGTTTTATTTTTAATATATTATTAAATAAAGTTAAAAATTATTTTACTTTTTATTGGCATAATCATAGGTTTATCACGTGTTAAATCTTTATTATTCCATATAGACATTTTGTAACTATCTGGTTTTGAATTTGAATTTGTTGATTCATCAGCTGAATGAAAAAGAAAATCATTAGATGAATGAATTACATATGTATGAATTTACCTGGAGACCAGCAAACAAAAGCTGAACGTCCTGATATTTGTTCGACCCATAAATCTTTTGGAAGTTGAACTAAACCTGCAAATTCAACATCAAGTTTTTCACCTGGTAAATAATGACCATGACGATCAGGATCATATTCTATAATAAATAAAAGAAATAGATTAATAATTTAATATGGAAATGACACAATTTAACCTTCTCCTTTTCGAAATAAAGTACCACCTGGTTGATCAGTAATTGGTACAACTTGAAATGCATATCGACCACCTAATTCTAAATCTTTAATAGAAGCTCGTCGTTGATCAAGTGGTATAGATTTTCCAATAGAACGACCATTTTTCAATATTTGATATCCCTAGAAGAAAATATTGTTTATATCTGCAAAAATAAAATGCAATAACATACAGTTAATTTGACATCTCCATGTTCGGTAGGTGCATCCCAAGCAATATCAATACCATTTTTATACATACGTTCAACTCTTGGTGTTGTACCTTTTGGTGGTGCAGCACATTTTAATGTAAGTTCATTTGATGCATTTGATTCTACATCACATTGATAAATATTTCCATCGAGTTTCTTTTGTCCAAGTAAAGATTTAACATAGATCGTATATGTTTTATCCGCTTGTAATTTAATAAAATCATATTTAAATGATTGCCGTCCATTAGTATCAATTTCACCATGAAGTTTTCCATCAAGAAAAATTTTAAATGAAGTTATTTCATCTTGATCTTGATTATCTAATTTCCATTTAATTCGAATTGAAAATGGTTTTTCAGCCGGAATTGCTTGGATAGTTGGTGGTTGAGGACGTTTTGCACATACAATACGTATAGGTTCAGATATTTTCTCATCAACAAAATCAGGATGAGTTGTAACTGATACTTGAATTTCATTTGTTGTACCTATAACAAATAATGTTATTGTTTTTATTTTATTTATTTCTAAAGATATATACCTGGTTTAAGATTACGTAATTCATATTCATGTTGATCTGGTGGAAGAATTTCAGTTGGTTTAGAATTAAGAATCATACGATAACCTTTAATTAATGTTTGATCAACAGAATCATCAAGTTTCCATGATAAATAAGCTGTTTGTAAGCCAATACGTGTTACTTGTAATAATGGTCGTGTTAATAATTCAATTAATGGATCAATTCTTGTTGTTTTTATTTCATTAGATTTTGTTACAAGATATTTCGTATCGTTTAATCCTTGAACATGATATAAAGCTCGAACAAAAACTCTATAAAATAGAAATATAATAATTTTTATTTATTTGTTTATTCTTCTAATTCACTTACACATATTCTTCTTGATCCGAAATGCCTGTTATTTCCAATGGAACATGGGATAAATTCCAAATATGTTCGGTATAACCATTTTGTTGTGAACTAATTATAATAAAATAGATATGACAAAAAAGAAAAGAAATTAAATTACCTTTCATCGCTTGTTATTTTATCTGAAAAATCTTTACCACGAATATGAACTTCATACATAGCAACATATACATCTGCTGGTATTGGTCGATCTAAATACCAAGTTGCACGAATTGATGTTGGACTTATTGTTTGCACATTTAGTTTTGGTATAGGAAGATCATTTTGTTCAACAACTTTCTAGAATTGATATAATACATATTTTATAAATTAAGATAAGAATAAGAATTTCTTTACATGAATAAAAGTATCTGATGGTTCTTTTTTCTGTTGTGGTTGAGATTTTAAGCCAGTAGATAAAACATTGATATTCTATATTGATAAAAAGAAAGATTAGAATAGACAAATGATAGTTATTGTATGGATAACATACAAGAATATTTGATTTTAATATTTCTTCATTTTTATCTTTTAATATAACTTCCAAATAACATTCATGTTTTCCTGATGAAAGATTTACTTGAACTTTCGGTTCATCTTGTGGTGATATCAATCCTCCATATGGATTTTTATCAACAATTATCTAACAAAAATCAATATTTAAATTAAAAACTATTCATTATTCTAATCTTACTCGATAGTTTTCAGTACGATCAGTATTTGCTTGAGGTTGTTTTTTCCAATATAACGTAATACCATATGCATTATTTTTAGATGAAATTACCGGTATAAGATGTTGAAAAGGATTTGTCTATAAGAAAAAAAAGTGCGTCTAAGTGTTCTTTTTGTCTTTCTTTTAAATCAATTACATACAATTGGTATATTTTCTGCCTTTCGATTTTGTTCTACACGTCGTGCTTCAAAATTGTTAAGTTGAATAGCTAGAAGAAATAAATTATGTATTGAAATTTATTTTTTAAAACACTAAATTAGAATCTATAATTTTTCTTTCTATTATTAGTATGCGTATACAAATTGATTAGATGCAAAAAATGTTGTAAACTAAAAGTTTATAAATAAAAAGTAAGAAGCTTATAAAAATTATGAAGTGTCATTAGCCATTGTATTTTCATTTTGGTTAGAATTTTTAGATAATTTAGATGAACGTTGTTGAGGTTTTGGTGGACGTTTATCCGTATATGGATCATGAGATGATTTTTGTGAAACAGGTTGGTCATGAGATGATTTTGATGATCGTTGTGATAGTGGTTGATCATGATTGTCAGGCAATGATGTTTGTAAATGTATAGGATTAGATTTTGAGCGATTTTCAATAGATTCTGTTAATTGTGCAAGAATTATTTGTGCTCGACGTTTAGAATCATCGGACAATGATGTTTGTGAACGTGGACGATTGGGTGTCGAACGATTTTCAATAGATTGTGTTAATTGTTCGAGAAGGGTTTGTGCTCGTTTTTTAGATTCTTTGGATAATATAAAATTTGAATCGTTTTGTTCTTGTTGTTTGCTCTTCTGCTTTCGTGTTTTTGGTATAGGCTTTGTTGTATTTTCATCATGTTCCGTTTGTGTTATTGATGTATCATCGGTGATGAGTGATGATGATGATGATGATTGTTGTTTTTTTTTTTAGATTATTAGTTTTGTGATCATCATTTTTATCAGTTTTCTGAGGAATACTTTCACTCGTGCTTAATGTTGTATTGTTCGTATTAAGTAAATGGACACTTGGTCGTGAAGAGGCTGTAGGAGAAAGAGGAGAAGAAGGAGAAGAAGAACTTTGGGCAGATAATTTTGGAGAAGATAACCGATCCGAACTCTCTAGAAAATGGACAAAAGAAAATTTTTTTAGTTTGTAGTCGTATCGATGTTTTTAAGTTTTACTACTTTATTCCTGCAAGCCTCTTCACCGGTGTGCATAAGTAAATTATACGAAAAACTATAAGTGAATGAATATAGCCTTACAAAATTTTTGAAAAATGTATGAAATGAATGACATTCTGCTTGAAAAAGATTTTAGACTAAATTCAATAATCAGAAATTTGTAGAAAGATCGAAAGATTTCTTTAATCAAATTTTATAAAACCCGTAAAATTAATAATTAATTTGTATTAACAAGATAAATAATCTATCATATATGACCAACGAGAAAAGTGCTGGTACCCAACACATAGGCAACAACAAATGCTCAAAAAGTATCAAACAGGTGCCTGGTACCAGCACTTATCCGTTATATATTATTCTTTTAACGGTTAACAAGCTTCCTAGATACAACAGAGTTTTTTTTTTATTTTCAATTTGTTTATAGATATTTCAATTAGATTAGTGTCTAGTTATTCATTAAAGTAGATAATAAAATCCATTAATTGTTTTAAAAACCTTCAAAAACTTATGAATACTATATAAAACTGTAAACATACCTTCAACATGTGCATCAGCTGGTGATGTATCACTATTAATTTTGATATAAGGAACATAGCCATCTTTTGATGGATTATGTACTGTCATTTCTAATGGTGTCGTAACACTTATGGTATTCGATTTACGAATAGTGTTACTGTCTAAAAATAAACGTCAAAAATATGTATACTTCTTTTTTTTACTTATATTTAACCTACCTTTAATTTTCGCCTCAACATATAATGGATACGTTTTATTTTGTTGCACACCATAAAATTGAATGCCATAAAAGTCATTAAAATTTTTTTCAGTCAACTTAAATATCATAGATAAAAATATAGTTAATAATAATAAATAAACTTACAATTTTTCTTTCAGTGTCATCAACGTAAACAATATATTCGCTAACATTATCTTTAATATGTGCCCATTGAATAACTAATACATTAGGATCATTTGATACAGCTAAACTAATTAAAGGACCACCATTTGAAATTTCTCGTTTAATTTCAAAGGCCTATATAATAAAGAATGGTTCTTATATTTATGACGAAATATTATATTATACTCGTTTATTTGATGTTATAGGTGCACCATGAACAACACCAGTTTTTGGATGAGCAGTAACATAAATTTCATATTGCTCTCCAGCAGCGAAACCATCTGCTGAAAATTGAAGATTTGTTGGTGCTATATGTGTTTTTTGTGCAATATCATTAATACATAATTCAAAATAATCAATAGAATTTATAGCATTAGCGGGTTCAATATTGATTTTTCCATACACTTTATTTGGTTGTTGCAATGTTGCCGAAAGTGTTACTTCATAGGTATTTCGTGAATCAATAACTTCCTGCGGTGCGTTCTAATCATATGAAAATATATTTTTTATTTAAATAGTTGTCTTTAACTTACATGCAAAAGTCCTGGTTGTTGTTGTAGTAGTTGTTGTTGTTGCTGTTGCTGTTGTTGTTGTTGTTGGTGTTGTTGTTGTAGTTGTTGCTGTTGGTGTTGTTGTTGTAGTTGTTGTTGTGGTTCTGGTTCCGGTTCTGGTTGTGCACTGGCCATAACAAATGTTGGACTGAAATAGGAAGAAAATATATTGTTAGATTAAAAAAAATTCAGCTTAGAAATATAAAATATGAATATTCAATTCTTCTTTAAAAGTAACAAAGTAATTTTGTCCACCAAAAAGTTTTTTTTTTCAGTATATAATTTTGCATTGAAAGTCTCATACGACACTCGCTTCATTTCTTTACAGTTTTCCTACTTCACTACACAACCAAATATATTAAGTTAGTAATAAATAATTCAATTGTCAAGTAAAAAAATCCCATTATTAAAGAAATAAAAATAATAACTGACTTTTCTGGCTTCACTGATATTATAATAAATCAATAAAATAATAAGAAACTTTTCATAGTGTTACAATTAGTAATATAACAGTTATAGTTTGAGCGATAATCAGATTCTCAAGTGTGGGTGTGGATGCGTATTTGATAATTACTAATACCCACACCCTCATATAAATTCAATAATATGAAACAAACCTGCTTGTCATAACAGTACTTGATATTTTATCATTTTCAGCTGCATAAGCACGTATGACATGTAAACCTGTGTCCTCTAAGAGTATACCTTGCTTTGGATCGTAATCCTAAATATAAATAATTATATTTCATTTTTTGAATTTTTATTATAATTATTTACATGAACAGCATCAGAAAATCGTGTTGGAGGAGAACCATCAGTAGTGTAATGCATATTTGCATTTCGATTTGGACAAAATAAATGTACTTGTGTACCAGCAGGGCATGACGAATCAATATCTTCAATTAAGTTAGGTTCTTGGACTCGTTTTTCTATTCAAATTCGAAATACGTAAAAGTACAATAAATATATTTTTCTATTAAACTTTTACTTTGACTTTTAATTTGATCTTGTGAATAAACGACTACTGTCGCTGGTTTTTGAAAACGATTAGATCGAATAGTATATTCTCCAGGTTTATTAAATGTATGTAAATGATGAACATTATGAACAAAATCAGTAATACGTCGATGTATAATATAGTCCTATAATAAAAATTAAATTGTGGCAAAAGAGTAAAATAAATCATAAATTTATTACTTCATCAATTTCTTCTTCCTCTCCACGTGGTTGTACATAAATTCGATGATTTGTATCATTAGTAGATAATACCCATGAAACAGTATCATTCTATACATAAGATTTTTTTTTTTAAAACTTCATGAATGCATTGTCTCGAACAAAAAAACTTACTTGTCCAATATTTAAAACATTAGGAGTAAATTGACGAGTACCTATAATAAAAGAATTTTGGCTAAATGGTGGTTCAACAATAATTGATGCTATGAGACGATCCTTTAAAAATAGATAAAAATTAATTATATATATTTTTTTTTCTATAAAAATATTTACTTCTGAACCAACAACACGTTCAAATTCTAAAATAATAATAGGAATAATGAAAATGATTGAATCGATAGTTTAAAATGTCTACCTGGATTAGCAAAAAAAAATGTTCCAGATTGAATACATTCAACACCAAGACATTTACGTTTTCTTCCGGCAACAGCTTTATCATGGCATGCAATCAATTCATTCAATGATAAATTTGAATTTACATGTGCAACATTATGAGAAATAATATTATCAAATGTCCAAATAACATAATCATTTACATTTGTTATTATTGATTGATTATCAAAATCCTGTTCACGTACTGATCTATAATGAAAACGTACTTCTGGTATAACAATTATTGCTAATGGACACATTTGTTCATCATTTTCTTTATTATTATTTTCATTATCATTTCTTTCCGTTGAAAAATAATAAATACCCAATTGTGAAAATTTTTTCATAAAATAATTAATACTATTTTCTTGAGGATGAAATATGGGCTGATCTGCTTCTAATTCATTACCAAATTCATCTGTTTCATAGATAGTAGCAACTTTTGTTGATGATGAATCAAACCATACTTGATCATTACGATTTATTATTAATGTATTAGGTTCGAATGAATTATGTTCATCATAAGCAACACGATGATTCTATTTAAGAAACGAAAAATATAATATATCATATGCAGATGAATACAGTGAAGAATTAATAGTTATTCTTACATCGATACCATTTTCAACGACAATACTTATAAGTGGAGCATCAAGATTTTTAGAATAAGCAAAATTGTAAACACCATGTTGAGGAATATTAAAAATAAGCGTTTCACATGTGTGAAAATGACGTTGAAGTGTTTGATCAACTTTAGTACATTTATGTGTGGCTAAAGAAATAGTATAAAATAATTTAATGATTTCTCGATAAAAATATAATAGGTTCTTCTTGTATAAGCAAAAATCTATACTATAGTATTTTAAAACATGAGATTAGTTCAATCGATTTCTCATTGATTATATTATACTGAATGATACTTATAGTAATACATCTTCATAATAAATGTCTATTTTATCCTTCAATTTATATTCTTGTTGGTAAACCGTGTTGAGACCATAGCTTTACTAGTCTTAAAATCAGCAATGGAAAAGTTAATTTCAAAGTCAAAGAGTTATGAGCAGTCTTCTTATAAAACTGTCTACAGCTTTAAAGATTCAAGCTTGATTGATCCGGTGACATTGGTATAATTTGGAAGCTTGTCACCTCATTAAAGTAGACCACTTAGAATCTTCGAATTCGAGATTAGTCGTAATCTCAGTTTGAAGTCTTACAAAAATATATTCATATCCATTATCTTAATCATACATAAGATAAAGATATTTTTGTGGTTTGTTCTCATTGCTAATAAAATAAATAAGCAGAATTATTTGCCGTAATGATGTTTATCTTTACTTCATGAATGAAACTATTTTTTTTATTAGTGTTTTCACGGAGAAAATTAAACATTATGAAAACAAATTTAGATTTTTTATTTTTACTGAAAAAAAAGAAATAGATGAGATCCTCATTTCCTCATAATTTTTCTTTCAAGAAATATGTAATAATTTAATGAAATTCTATTCTTAAATTATCATTTTTTTCTGTGTACTTATAATGATACATCTAATTTTACATTTGTACTTTTATTGTATTCATTCATCGTAACACACAAAGAATCAACAGCGTTTCTATGGCGATTATTTGATCAATGACGTCGATTTTTTTCTATTCTTTTAGAACAAGATTCATTTTCTCTTGTTTTTACTGCTTCCAATTCAAATAATAACTAAAAAATATTTATATAAGTACTTATACATATATGTACAAGTGATATTGCCTCTTACCATCTGAGAAATGACTTAAATACTTAATAAACGTAGGCATTATCGAAAAAAAAATGTGTATATATAAGAATCTAATAACAACTTCAAAGAAGTATCTCTTATTTACTTACCACAGTTAAATACTTCAGGTATACCACCAATTGCATGTGGTACTACAGATGATTGTGGATCAATAGTCAGTTGTACTGGTTCATCATTAGGACTATCCATTCTCCAATCAAATTGTATTAAATCATTTGTATTCATACTATGAACTATAAAGAACAAAATAAAACAAAAAATCATTTGATTTTAACAAATTTTTCTTTTAATTTACTTAAATTTTCACCAAAAACTGGTACATGATAAATATTTTGACGTGCTTCAACAATAATTGTACCAATTTGATCTGTTGCCGTTTTATAACAATATATTCCTGGTTCTTTAAATTGATGACGCATATGACCACGACGTGTTGTTCCATTTGGCCAGAAAAAATTTTTACCCGGTGTTTTTAACTACAATAAAACAATATGAAAAGTTTTTTTTATTCTTGTTTTGTAACTTTTATCTATGAATACAAACTTCAATTGATTGTTGTTTTTGTTGATCAATAGTAAATGGTTCAATTTGTGTAACACTTTGTTTCGTTTTTGTATTCCAATCAAATACAATCCAATCATTTTGTTCAATCCAAATAATATTTGGTTGAATATTATTATCAGCTATTTCTATAAGTTTCATTTCATACGACTCATTTATAATACAAACAATAACATCATGAATTTGATTTTTATCAGTTAAACGAAATAAAAATGACATGCCAAAATCATTAAATGTTTTCTTAAATGTTCCCTTCTTTGAAAATCGATTGGAATCATTATTAGATGGTTGAGCAACTGTATAAAGTCCACCAGATACAGGACAAAACTTTTTTTCTTCAATACGATAATTATGTTTCGTTGCCCATTCAACTTCTACAGTATCACCTTTATGTAAATAAACTTTCTGACTTTCTGTTGTATCATTTAAAGTAAATTTGATTTCACTCTGATAAAGTTTTAGGCAGTTTTTTTCACAATTATTTTTTGGTAATTTACGTGTTTTAGCAATTGTTTCACGTTCTGATGATGGAATAATACAAAAATATAATTCAAGTTCAGGTTGATTGAGATCATATGAAAATGATATTTGTCTATTTTTTTTTAATGTTCGATTTTTTATATTGGATAATTTAAATCCATTATCTACTCGATAATAATCATTACCATCTTTATATACTTGAATAATATCATATTCATCTTTTCCATCGATTTTAAATTCAACAATATCATCACATTCAATACGTTCTGGTTTTTTATCACTAATTAAACCATCATTTATATCAATGACATGAACCATTTTTGTATCGTCATCTGCTTGCATATGATTATCCGGAGCATGACCTTGTGATGAAGCCATGCGATTTGGTACTAGATTATAGAGAAATGTGTATTATATATTTTACATGGACTAATTGAAATTTTCAAGTGAATAGAATAGATAAGCAGAAGCATTACAAACAAAATCGAACCTTCTGAGTTTGGTTTATCCGCCTTTACACGTTGATGAGTAGATGTTGAAGACGTTTTAGATTTATTAGTTGGTTTGGTAGCCGATGCACCACAACCCATCTTATTAGTTTACAAAACAAAACACAAGCAGAGACGTATATAAAGAGTGATATTTCACCACTCACAAACTCAATTGTCTGAAAAACATTAGAAATGCATACAAACAACAAACACAAATTGTGAATCAAACATTAACATGCATATCATTAGTGAAACACGAAGCATTTTCATATACTCACGAAATCCAAGGAAACTTTGAATCTGTAGTTTTTATATTTGATATGTCAAGTAGAAAAATAAATCTAAGTGTGAAAGAAATAATTTATTCTGTTTTTTTTGAGTTTCTTGTTATTTCATTGTTCCATTTTTGTCATGAAAGTTGCTTAGTGATAATTATCATGATAAATATTTTCAATGATTATTATTAGAAATATTTATTCTTAATTTTTTATTAAGATAAATCTATTTTAAATTCATTTTAATTATTTCATTTACTTACATATACAGATGTCAGTATTTAACGATTGTCTTGACAACATTTAGCGCAATTTATTCCAGTGATTTTTTTTCTTTCTTTTCTTAGTTTTTAAAATAAGATTTCATTATGAATATTTATAATCAAAATGAACTTTCTACAACATCAGAATCCGATAGTGAATATTTAGTTGATTCAAGATATTGTCGTACAACAGTTAAATGTAAACGAAAAGCATTAAAAAAAACAATTAAATTAATTCATGGACGTTGTATAGTTATATATCGAGGTAGTGGAGATCTTTTATCTATTGCAGCAAAAGATGCTGATCGAAATTGTTATTGTGGTAAGTAAAACATAAAAATAATTTTCTTATCTAACGGAAGGATAACAATTAACAATAGATTTTGTATTTGTTTGTTATGATCCAAAACCAACTAAATCAACTATGCCACGATCTCGATCAGCTATACATGATTCATCAACTTCCAATGATGATGTGAGTCTATTTTAGGGTAATCAAAACTTAAATTAATGAAAAACTATTTTATTCAAAAGGATAATATAAATAATAATAATCATAGTATTTTTCAAAACCGATTTATACCATCAAATATGAATCAGCAATTAACAAAACAAAATTCATTTTCATTTAAAACAAAACTAAACAATGAAAATACCAATGAATCGATTTCAACTGAAACGAAATCATCGATAAAGAACAGTTATGACACAAAACATATTCATAACAATAGAAATAAGAATTTGAATGAACGTATGCTACATGATGAAATTAATGTTGATATAGAAAAATTAATTGATACTGATGAACCATCACCTTCAATTATTTATTTTCCGTCATCACATTTGAAATCTATATGACATAATATCGAATACCTAAATGAATTATAATTAAATGTATTAGAATTAAATATGATTTTTTCACAATAGATAGTATTTTAAAAACAATCAGAGATTTTATCAATACTGATGATCATTTTTATATTTTAAATACAATGTAAATACACATAAAATTCATTCGTCACACTATATCATACATACATGCATAAAAAACAGACCTTCAACACATCCGCTAGAGAGTCGATCGACTAGAGGTGCATTTAGTTCATTACATACATTCAAGGTTCAACGCAAGAAGATGAATACAATAGAATGATGATGACATATGATCGATGAAAGAAACGGTATCATATTCAAGGAAATGAAAAAAAAAGTTCAAAGGAATCGACATTGAGCATGAAATGAACATAAACGATAAATTTTACAGAAATTTATCGATGTGCTAAACTTGATAAACCAACTTCTGTTGGTGTTACTCTATGTAATGCACAACAACAAAAACAAATGTGTTTTCTCGTTTGACGACGAAAACGACTGGACGACAGAAAAAATACATAAAAGCTGCTCTACAAAAGAAAAGAAAATAATTAGTTAATCGTAAAAATTTGACTTACTTCATAGTTTAAAAATGCTGAAAGACTTGTCACAGTTAAAGCAACTAAATCTTTACCCTTTTGCTCTGCATCTTTTTGTATGCTCGCTGTTGCTAATGCATATACATTATAACCACCATAAGATGCTACACTAATAAAAACAATAAAAATTTGCATACAAATCATTATTGTTAACTGTTGATCAGCATTATTTAATTGAGCCGTATTTTTTAGTAAATGCATATTACGATATGCAAGTATACCAAATGTAATCATAACGATGATAGAAGTGGCTGTCAGTAGACCAAGAAAATAAACATAAGACCAGTATATATTCAAAATTCGATTATTAATAATACATGTTCCAACTCTATTTAATAAAAATGATAGAATATAATAAATTGAATGATATAACAGTAGTAAAATCTCATTTGACTTTGAATTATAAGAGAAATCATAGAATTTATTATTTTTCTAAGATATAGTTACTGAAATATTATGAAATAAATTAACGATTGACTATGTCAACATATAACTTACTGTATTTGATTAAAGACCAAAAACGGAATACCCTGCAATACCCAGACAATAATGACACCTACAACAATATGATGTGCTGATTTGATATTACTAAATTGACGTATTCGAACATGACGAGATGTGACTAGAAATTGATCAATAACAGAAAGACATTGAAATGTCATTCCTATACCACCAAATGTAGCAATCAAAAATTGTCGACATTTACACCAAACAAGAGATGTTCGTGTAAGATCATTATTAAAACCAAGTATAAGAAAACGTGGAATTTGACCACTCATGATTTGTACAATGCCAGCAGCTGATGCCATTAATAAATAGAATGTAGATGGAACTTTTCTATATGTAGATTCACGACTAAATATCCATATATTTAATAAATTACCAAGAACACCCAAACAAAATTGTGGAATGCCTACATATCGAGCGTATGATTGACTAATGAGTGACCAAGATGTCATCATGTAAAAACTTCTTAATAATACAAATTTTCTATTTGTATGCAATTTCAAAAATATTTTTTTAAAATAATAACGACTTATTGCGACGATAAAATATATTTATAGAAAAATGGCAATTAAACATCAGTAGACTGTTAAATAAGAAAAAAAAAAAACTTAATGTTACTTAATTGTCGACTTACTGTTAAGTCTTGAAGAGTGACAAGAAGAAAATTCATTCTGAGACTACAGAAGCTGATTAGATTTCTTCTCTCTTTACAATATTTTGCCATCAATTTACTTGAACTCAAAAATAATATGATCGTGTACTTTAAACGTAAAATTTATACTAGAAAAAAGAATCTAGAGCATCGAAACAGCTAATCCTAATTAATAGAAAAGTTCCTATATATTGACAGAATTTATAACTAATATTTTTTGCTTACTTCCTCTGTATGTTTTTAAATAATTAGACAATAGGGGTGTTAATCAAGAATTTGTCTAAGATCCATGTCTATTCGCAATACTTATTATAGTCTACTAAAAGAAAAGTTTCTTGTTTGACAAAACTAATTTTAATTTCAAGAATTTACTTTCGTATCTATACTAGTTCGAAATATTGTTTCCTATGCTTATGAGAAAAATTAATGTCCTATTACGTTTTATCTGCAAATAGTACATTCAATAACCTAGATGAAATTTTTTAATTAATCAAAATACAATCTATGATAAAGATTTTTCAAGACAGAAATGCGCAGATGACATTTTTGAAGTAAATAAAAATAACTTTTTTTTTTATAGTACAAAATAGCGTCTAATATCATATGCCTATTATAATTGTTGAACCATGACCGCTTCAACACACACATCTAAGAAAACAAAATCATACTGCTTATGATTCAAGAAAGAAAATCTTGCAATACTTTTCTTTGCTATACTTACCAGTTTATTGAATACAATAATTCTTAATTATTATTATTTTTTGACAGTATCTGATGAAGTATTTCCAAAGTGGTCTTTTGAAATTTAATGCATTCCATGTATTACATCATATATATTCGAATAATTATTGTTGCTGTACTTGATTATCAAGGTTAGGTAACTAGAGTTGAAAAAAACATTTCTGCTTAACTGAATTATATGTATTTATTTCATATGATTTTCCGCTTGAACGTATTCACAACGAATATATAAGTAAAAATAATAGATTTCGAATTACATAGGAATTATTCAATAGATATTATATTTGACTTATGACTCATCTGTTTTTCATATATCTTCATTAAATGACAATAATATATATTCAAACATAGAAGTCTTTTGAAATAGAAGATTAGTAAAAAATAAATGAGTAAATTAATCAAAGTTAATATATTTATTATATAAAAAAACCAAAAACCTTCAAAGAATTTATTTTTATTCTGTATATATATCTAAAACATAAATTACTAGTTTTTATTAACCTTGTATAGTAATTGTAATATAATCGAAATATCTTCATATGAGCTTTCTCTAAGCTATGCTTTTTATTTCGTAAATGTTAACTAGAAGTACATTTTTTGACAAATTTTTTTTTTTCATGAACTATTTTATGCACGTTTTGCTCGTATCCATATAATAATAAAAGTAATTGAATGATATACAATAATCAATAATAATAACATTCCCAAATAAAATGCAATAAGATGTTTATCTATTTGATAAAATTCTAATACTTTATCACCGTTTGATAAACAAAAACCTTGTGTATCACATGGAATATGTTTTATATCACGCCATAGGAAAATAAGTATTAATGAATATGCATAATAATACCATGTTGAATATTGTAACCAAGTAAAATAAACCGGAACAGAAGCATTATTAAGAAAAAATCCTCCAAATAACATAAATATTTCTAAAAGTGGTAATGCAACTGATACAGCACTATCAACTGAATTAGATAATGCTGCTATTATTCCCGAAAAAGCTACCGATGCATTTGTAGCTAATATTGCAAATAAACAATATAATATATATGTTAAAAATGATTTACTAATACCAACACAAACATAAACTATGGTTGTAAATATCCATGGCATAATAATAAAAAATGGTAATTCTGTAAAAAATCTTGCAATATAATATGCACTTGTACCATATAAACGACGGCGATGTTCACGTTTAAATACTTGAAATTCACCTGGAAATGTAGCTAAAATAACAAATGCATTTGTATAACAGACACTTGTTAAAATAACAAATGAAATAGCATTGAGATTTTGTACAATTTCTGGTGTTTGTTTTAATTGAAAATATAGAACACCAAGAATAAGTGCAGGTAAAACAGATTTAATTAATAAACTTGTTGAATGAACTGGATTTCTTGATGATGCACGAAATGAACGCCATAATAACCATTTAAGTTGTCGAAAAAAATTTGATTGATAACAGATATCTGTTTCGAATTTGTCTGATCTCATTTTACTAAGAATTATTTCATCTTCAATTGATTTTTGTAATTTTTGATTATATTGTGATTGTTGAAATTGTTCAACAGCATGTTTCCATTCTAATGGTAATTGAGTTGATTCATCTCCATCTTTAGTATCGTCAGAACGTGATGATAATTGTTCAATATAAAATTCTGATGGATTACAATTCGGTGGACACTGACGATCCATTGATTGAAAAAAATCTGGTGCATCAATACGTGCACCAAAATAAACAAGATGACCATGTGAAAGTAAACATAAAGTATCAACCATATGAAATATTTGACTTGATGGTTGATGAAGTACTGATATAATAGTTTTACCTTGATCAGCTAATCGTTTCATTGTATTCATTACTGATATCGCTAAATTACTATCAAGTCCTAATGAAAAGAAAATAATTATATTATTTATTATTTTTCTTTAATTAACCTGATGTTGGTTCATCAATAAGTAATAGTGCAGGATTAGTAAGTATAACTGATGCAAATGTTAAACGACGTAGTTCACCACCGGATAATCCTTTTAATTTTCCTGGTATACCAATAATTGTATTTTGACATGATATTAAATCTAATACTTGTAATACATCTTCAATACGTTCACGTCGATATTCATCTGTATTCGTTTTCATACGAAGCATAGCCTTTAGTTTTAGAAAATAATTAAATATTGATTTAATAAAACTAAAACCAAAGAAATATTTTAAACCTGAAAAGTAAGATGTTCACGAACAGTCATCGATCCAATAAATAATTCATTTTGTTCAATATAACCACATCGATTCAATAAAGTTGATCCTTAAGATTACAAAAATTTTTAAAATATATAAATAATTTCAAATTTCTTTCATACCATCAACACGTAGTCCATTGAGAGAAATTGTACCAGATATTTTTAAATGTTTATTGAAACGACCACTTAATATGCCAAGTAATGTTGTTTTTCCTAAAGATTTATTTAGTTTATTTATATTTATAAATTAATAATAAAAGAAAAATTTATACCAGCTCCTGAACTACCCATAATAGCAACAATTTTTCCTGGTACTGCATGACCATTTAAATTAGCAAGTAATTGTTTAGTAAATAGTACATTTTTTGATTGTTTGAACCATTTATTATTACGTGGTATAATATCGATAGTTACATTTAATTGTTGCCATGACATTGTTAGCGGATGATCAATTGCCAGATGATCATCTGCTACTGTTGCTATATCAACTTTAGTCGAATCATAAGTAACAGCAATTTCATCATCGGCAACAAAAGGACGACGTTCACTATTAAAATAAAAATATTTTTATTATAAAATACATAAAATATTATCATCTTCACATACTCTGCATTCCGATTAGGCATAATATTTTATCTAATTAGTAATATTCTTAAGCATATAGATTTATTTATCAATACGTGGGATGTACTTATACTTCGTATACTTTTTATGTTTACAATCACAATCACAAGCACAGAATGAAATCGTTTCATTTATGCATGAGCAAACACGTTAATATCGCCGTGTTATAAGTTATCATCATAAATGGCGAAAAGGTAAACTTTGATCACATGTTAATTTGTGATGTGAAATTTAACGATAAAATAAAACGTAGGAGGCGTATAAATCATAAACAATTTTAAATGACTCATAGTTTATATCGAGCAAAATTTCATGAAATGTATAGATTTCTTCATAGTAATATGCTTTAAACTTGTAGTGTACACTTATCAAAGATAAAAGTTTGAACTCTAGGCATTTTATTAATCGCCGTGACCTAAATATTGTTCGAAATAAATATGATAATCATATAGTAATATTCTTATTGTTATTTACCTGTATTTATTATTGTCTTTTAATTAAGTTTTTAAAAGAATAACAATTATAGGAAGTTATAGTTGAATGTAGTCTTTGAAACAAAGTGCGATCTTATCATTTGTTAACTATTTTAAAGATGCTATTCATTGTGAAATACAATTGAATTTTTTATTTTGATACCATTTTCTATATATTTTTTCAGTAGTATGTTAATAGTTTTAATGAAGAGAAAAATCGAATTAAATCATATGTAATAATACAAAGGATATGAGTATGTAAAAGTAAGTAGAATTATATATATATGTTAGAAGTTTTTGCTAATGGTTTTGGTTCGAAAAATTCAGTCGAAGTCACCCGTAATAGTCAGTCCAAAAACAAAGTTAATTACCATATCGTTTGTGGCATAATAAATTATTATTGAACTTGAAAAATACAATTAAAAATCAAATCATCAGCGGATTAAATGATAAAAACTATATTCTCATAAATTTCATAGTACCAATAATTTTTTCGAATCAAAACCATTAGCAAGAACTTCTAACATTAACGATTCTACTCACTTTCTCACACTCATATCCTTTGTACTATTACTTATGATTTAAATTCGATTTTTTCTTCATTAAAATTATTAACATACTACTGAAAAATATATTGTCTGTCATAATAAATAGCATCTTTAAAATAGTTAACAAGTAAATGATTAGATAACTCTTTGTTTCAACTATTACAGTCAACCATAACTTCATATAATTGCCATTCTCTTAAAACATAATTAAAAACAGTAATATGTCTACGGTTCAAACTTTTATCTTCGATAAAGGTGCACTACAAATTTAAAGCATGTTAGTATGAAGAAATCTATACAATTCATGATTCTATGAATAAATAAGAATAGTTGATGATTCAAAAATGATCTGTACGTATTTATTTCGTTTTATACATCATGAAAATCATTCGTATACAATCTTGATTTTTCTTATACGTAGATAAAACTAAAGCATATCTCATCTACTGGAATACAAGATTAATAAATGACTTTAATTGAAATCGTTTTGTTATGAAATAAATTTCATTATTTATACATATATGTATATATATATATTGTTGTAAACGAAAAAAAAATATCCACAATCTCTCAAATTGAATCGAATACTTGTTGAAAAAAAAACAGACGAATAACACATGAAATTTGTCAAAGAAAAAGAAATTCCCACGAACAAAAAAGAAGAAAAAAAAACATCAAATTAGATACAATACATTTCATCCTCATACATAATCACCGATGTTCATTGAAGACAAAATAGAAAAAGAAGAAAAAAAAGATAATCAGTTATGGTCTTCTTAAATCATTATTGACATTTATATCGGAATTATTGGCTTCATCATCACTATTAACATCAACATCCGAATTATTTGTTTCATCATCATCATCATCATCACCATCATTAGCAAGTAAGGAATGACAAAATGGAGTGACATCATCTTTTTGCTGCTGCTGTTGTTGTTGTTGTTGGCAATCACAACAATCATTTGATAAATTACATAAATCATTTTTATCATTGCTTGTTGAATTTTTAGTTGATGATGTAGATTCTGTTCCATCAGTAAAATTATTATTATTATTATTATTGTTATTAGTAGCAGTAGTACTATTATTATTATTTGTTGAATTTGATGTAAGCAATTCTCGTTCTTTGGTATTTCGCCATTTCATACGACGATTTTGAAACCTTAAAATTAAAGATTTATTTATAAATTTCTTTCTATGATCAATTAAATTGTATATTACTTACCATATTTTGACCTTGATAATAACAATAAAAAGAAGAAAAAAACAAATTAAAAAAATAATCTTATTTCTTTATTATAATAAAATAATTACCTGAGAATCTTTTAATCCAAGACGTTGAGCTAATTTTTTTCTTTCCGGTTTACTAATATATTTTTGTTTAAGAAAAGCAACTTCAAGACCTTTACGTTGTTGATCAGAAAAAACAGCACGGCGTAACATTCCACGACGAGGTTTACTTCGCAATCCTAAAGGCCAAAATATACTTGATGGTGGAGGTGGGAGATAAAGTCCATTTGGTGGTGCTGTACCATTTAATAATGATGGTGTTGATCCACCCATTGACGGCGAAACACTATTACCAAAATAACTACCTGGTTGATTACCTATGTGAAAAAAAATTGTATGATAAATCATCAGAATCAACAAAAAAAATTAAAATGTATACATTTATTCAATTTCTATTGTTTTCATAATAGGTGGAATACATTAATTGAATAGATAGACGATAAGAGAAAAAAAATAATGTGATTAGGGATATATATACATACATACATAGACGTATACAATAGAACTAAGCCTAAAGTGGTGAAATCAAAACAAGGTAGCCGAAAGGAAAAAGAAATAGAAAGAGAGAGATCGTATTGCCTCTTGGCAAGAACTTGCATCTTCATATTTTTTTCTTTTTAGATCCACCTGCGTTTTATCATTTCATATATGTACACACTTGAAATTCTCATGTGAAATATGATAGGTAGTTGACAAATAAAAACGCTGATTGGTAGTTTTTCTCATCAACATCATCATCAACATCATCATCATCATCATCTTCATCGAATTAAAACCTGTTGTGTATGTTTGCTCATGTAGTCGAGTAATTGAGACGTACATACAAGCAACCACTTGGATAATAGAACAAGAGAAAAAATGAAGAAGATGAAGAAATAGCAAAGAACATGTTCTTTAGACTATATATAAATATATATATATATATATATATACGAACGAGATTCAATTATACTCGTATGTGTGTGTATATATACACATTTTGACTTTTAATTGAAGAATATAAGGTAAAGAATGAGAAAAGAGGAAGGTGAGAGCGATCAATATGAAGCGATTATAATTACTTGTGACTAGGCGGGTGACGAGTATTGATAAGATCAAATTACAACATATTTTTTATAAGTAGTAAAAAAGAAAAACTTTATATTTACCAATAAATGGTCGAAGAGATGGACGCCATAAACCATTAGGCGGTGGTGGATGACCATCGAATGATAAATGATGTTGTCGATTAACAGAAGCCATTTGAAGAAAAAGACGATCATGAAGATTTTGTTGTTGTTGTTGTTGTTCATTGTTGTGTTCTCGTGATAATCCATTAATGCCATTATTATTGTTGTTTGCTGTGAGACAATTGAATGGTATATATACTGATGAACCATACATAGGATGTGAGAGAAGTGCTGAAGGTGGTAAAGAATGTTGATCGGATGATGGTGAACTACTATTGAGATGTGCTGGAAATGGTGGTTTGAAATGTGGAGATTTAGCAATAGAAGGTTCACTTGAAGAAACAGATGAACTAGTTGAAATAGGTGATTCAACATGAACACGTACTAAAAAAACCGAATAGATTAAATGAAACATTTATTATTTAAATGACTGTAATTTAGTAGAGCTCAGTCCTAAGAAAGAAAACTAGGTTTTAATAAATTTTAGAGAACAAAAACCTAAATACACAAGATCTAATATGAATCTGAAGAGAAATAACAAAATAATCTTTTATTTCATTTTTTATCATTTTAAATTTCTTATCAGAAGATGAAGACTTAATTATAATGGATAATCATTTACTAAAGTATGAATGTTGCTTATATTTGTATGAAAATAGGTATATATTCTACTTCTAGGGATATACCCATCAATTTTTATCTATGTTGAAATAATAATTGTGCAAAAAGAAAGAAATGAATGCTTACTTTTATGTCTTAGATCATCATCTGATTCACTGCCAGCATCGAATGAAGATTCATTATCTGCAGGTGTACCAAGAATTGCATCAACACCAAACTTAAGTTTTTTTCGTGGTGGTAATAATTTTTTATGATCATTTGTTCTCATTGCTATTACAGATGTAGATGTTAATTCATCTTCATTGTCATTTGTTGGATTTCTTTTCATTTTATTATTACTGTTACCTGTATTCGTTAACAGTGGTAATAAGTAAGAAGATTGGCGACATGCAGCGTCAATCATCATCTCCTATATGTGTGTGCTTGTGTGTATGTGTATGTGTTTATGTCAGGCAGGCAATCAAAATTCTCATTTTGTCGATTAGTTGAGCGAATGCAGAGTCGGATCAGCTTCCATTAGTGTCCAATCATTGTCGAGAGAGAAAGAGAGATGAAAAAAAAATAAATGACGACAAGCATCCACCATTCATAATGCTTGCAGGTAAAATATGGTATTCTCTCTCTCTTTCTCTTTCTCTTTCTTTTTCTCCCCCTTTTTTCCTCCATTTGTCAACTCAATATGTATATGTATGTGTGCTCAAGAGGCCAGACACTCAATAAAGCGGTATCGATGAATGAAACTAAACTGATCCGCATATAAAATGAATAAGTGGGAAGGAGAAAGACAGAGAGGAATAAAAAAAGAAAAAAAAAAGGTATTATGAAAATGTACAAATAGTATAAGTAGCAGCAACAAGTAAAAGTAAGAATTACGAAATAAATCGAATAAGTTTAATCGATACGTTAAAATGAAAGGAAGAAAAAATCTGATTCGTTTAATTTTCTTTTCTATATGTGTGTCGTCGATTATATGTGTGTAACCTAATCGGTGATAATAACAACACTCAATTGGAACAATAACAAATTTTACTTTCTGTTAATCATAGACGCCAATGAGCTCTTCTCCCTAAGTTTTCTTTTTCCTAATCAGTCAATTATCGAGAAAAAAAGAAGAATTAAAAAGTAAAGAGATTCTTTCTCTCTTCATCATTTCATACTGCCAATCGGAGCGTAGAAGAGCACTTTCAAATTTTAAGTGATTGACATAGAGAAAGAAAACTTGCTAAGAGGCAAATATACTCTTTCTTGCTAAAAAGAAATAGCTGTACAATAATAATGAAGGATCAAATTGCGACATGCAATTTTTTTCTCTCTCATTCGTGAATTTCTTTTTTTTTGAGTATTATGATCACATATCTTAGTATCGTTTTAATTCAATTGAATTGATTTGTTGGTTTAATATTTGTTCCGGCAATCAATTACGGAAGAGCTTATATTTCCAATGTATATATTTAAAAGAAAAAATATCTTTCTATATACTTTGTTACAAAATAATTTTTCATTATACAAGTAAACAAAACAATCAAAAATGGTTAACGTATTGAAAACACTTTGATCATTGATGTTAAAATTTTTCTATTTCCCACAAACTATACTCATATTAAATCTTGTTCATTCTCTTGATCTTGTATTTTATATAAGAGATGCTTGAACTATATATGCTTGCTTGATTACATACAATTCATTATTCTATGTCGATAAGTCACATAGATACTATGCTATTTATTTTACCGCCTATTCTTAAGACTAAATGATAAAGAAAAAACGGAAATCAGTATATTAAAAAGAAAAACGGAAATCGAATTTTGTAAGATCAAGAACAAAAACTTATAACTGGTGTTGTTTGTCACTTTATATGAACGAATAGAGTTAAAATGTGTGAAATAAGAGGTAACCAAGCTTGAGTTGATTGTCATAGAGTGAAAAGAGGAAGAATGCTTAAGAATAGTCATCATATACAGCCTCTTTAGTTGACGCGCATGGTGAACATCTTCTTTTTTTTTTCAATTTGTTCACGAGTCACTTGAAGATTTGACATATGACAATGGAAAAAGAAATAACCGTTGATGTTTCATGTGGTGAGATGCAATGATGAGGACAAGAAGCGACATAATATAAATTGAAATGACATATATATTTTAAAAACATGTTTATGAAAGATAGTTGAAAAAA